TTTTTTTTAAAAATTTTCTCCATCGTCATCTCCGCGGGTTGACAAGACAGCGCTATGCGCAGAATTGCGTGCGCATAACCCATGCCTTAAATTAGTGCATCGTCAGCACTACCAGATACGGTCACCGTCTAGCTGGTCGCAACCTCAATCAAGAGTCTCAACCGGGCACGCCTTGTTCTTTGAAATAATAATTCACCTCATTCGACGATACTCAGCAGCCAGCCATTTTAAGCTTCCATCTAATGCAGACCAACGACCGCTAACCAGATGCGACCATTGTAGCCCTTCCCCGTAAATCGGCACCAAACGATCGACTAACGTCCCAAGGATCTCAGTGCGCACATTTGAGATTGCATCTATCACAAGATGACGTGAAAAATTGCCTAAAAAAAAGGGGTGGCTGGTTGCAGTGGATTGCGTGACCACAAGGTCTAGACACTCAAAGACGCCTCATTAGACTAGAGTGGGCGGAGGCGCCGAAAAAGCGTTCCCATGTCACCGCCAACATTGTGAGTGTGCCCTGGGTTTACTTTGTTGCCCAGGGGGCGTGCGTCTGCATTAAGCGCACCGGTCTCGGGTACCTGTATACAATTCATTCTCCTCACACAATCCAATAATACCCACGTCGCCCTCATTTTTTGCTTCCGTGCTCTCCCAGCTTTATATAAGCAAGTTCTCCTGAAAAGTTTTTTTCTTCTAGAAGTATCTTAGTATGGGTTTGGTAATCGGAGTGGACCCCGGATCCTCATCCTTGCGAGGCGCTGTGCGCAAATCCGGCGCGTATGTTGTATTCTACGAGCAACCATCTGCTATTGGATTGAACAATAGAAAGTGGGTACACGGCCATGAAGCTATTCTGCACTCCGGTAGATTACCCGAGCAAGTTGTTTTCAACCTCAAGCAATTCAAGAACCCGGAGTTCTGGAAGTCAATGATGGGACCCAAGCATAACTTCCCTCACCTTATTAACAAAGGTCCCGAAGGCTTGAGCATTCCCTTGGCTTTGGGCGGTTCAGTACGCGAATGGACCATCCCGGAACTTGAAGCACGTCTGTTAGGTGCAGTGACGCAAAAGGCAAAGACCCTCTGTCATACGCCTGCAACTGATGCTGTGATTGCTGTTCCCGATAACGCTTCTGACGACGAAGTCGAATCTATTGTTAGATCCGCTATGCTGTGTGATCTCAATGTGAAGCCGATGCGCGAGCTGGAGCTTGCTGTCATTGCTCATGGATTGGACAAGGGCTTAGGGGACAGGCTTGTGGCCGTGGTCCACGTTGGGCAAACGCTCACGATGTCGCTTGTGCGGATCAAGGATCACGACATGTACGTCGAGGAGTTCGTCTTGCACGACGAGAAATTATGTGGCAATGATGTGGATGAACGATTGCTTGAAACCCTCGCTCCCGGTGTGCAGACGGCGATTTGGGACAAATTGAATGACGACCCTTTGCTGTTGAAAGGGCTTTCGAAAACTACGCCCAAGAAGGCCACGGAAAAGAAAGGGGGGGAAGAGGTAAAGAGGGAGAACAGATTGCAGCTTCATCGCGACAAGCAGTTCGTCCGGCGGAGATTATTGAACATCTTGAACAGTGGCAAGAAAAAGTTAGCAAAGAAGGATACCCACCATGTCGAGGTGACGTTGCACAAACGTACCTTTATGGGTAAAGTTTTGAAAAAAAAGTATGAAGAAGTTTGTCAAAAGGCGTCCAGACGTATCATTGAGAAGGTGAACGAGCAGTTTGAAGACGAACACCTGGCCTCTAGTGACAAGCACAAGAAACTGGACCTCTTTGCTGCTGTGATCTTGGGTGGGCTCTTCAACGTCCCTGTTGTGAAGGAATCGCTCTTGGAATGCTTCAAGGACGTCCCGAAGCTTTATGATGATTGCCCAGAGCATACAATCGTGCTTGGCGGCGCGATGCATGGTGAGAAAATCACTGATGGTGGTACTATCCCCATCCCCCCCTTTCCCTTTTCCGCACCCGACGAAGGCAGCTCAGTCTAGCCAACTCGGTTCAGCGTCTTTCGGTAATTAATTTTAAGAGCAATTTGAGTATCATAGGTAATATAGTGAAATATTACGACTTCGTTTAACTTTTTATGTAGGTCTTGGTGTGTCATTGTGGTTCTAACGCATTGACCATGGGTGATATGACCCAACGATAAAAACTACAGCGGTTTTCCCTCAGTGCGGTTCACGAAAATGAGCGCCCCAAATAGGTTGGTCGTGGCAGTTCATTGGGGGGCTGCTGCGCCCCGCCTCACTTCCCATCGTCTCAGGCAGGCGTCGAATGCGGCGGTTGCACACTTCGATGGCGTTATAGTGGTAGCCAGAATGAGTCCACTTCCAATGTGTTTTCAAGACAAGTCGTTGTACGGCTTACCACCTGCCCTTTTTCCTCCCTTTTCCTGTAGTTTTGGCACCCCAGTCTACTTCAACACATGACGATACCACTGCCAGTCAAGTTGGTTACGTTCGTCGGAATGCATAAATGAGACGCGCACAGCGTAATCGACCCCACGCGAATATTGGTCGACGCCAGAAAATGTTTTCACACGTGGCTAGCTGGACAAGGGAGGGAGCTGAGGTCACTACTGCTCACCCCACACCGCCAGCATACGCCGGATTGCCAATACTACATCGTTGCCAGGCAGGCCTAGTCAATGACCACCTGTTGTCGACTGGCACCAACAAATACAGGATTAGCCGGCGGCCTTTTCCATTTTCTTTTTTTTTTTCCTTTGTTCGAGCGCATCGTGCATCATCGAGTAGCTGCATGTAGCCGATGTAAACGGCATCTCTCCCGACGGGGGCGAGTGGAACGATGGCGTGTCCAGGCCAATTTGATAGAACCTTAACAAACAGCGTACGTCGTCAATGCCACCACTGGGGCGGGCCCCGTACTGATGTGACGCCATTGTTGGAATGCCTATCGAGCGTGTTGCGTCTCATGGGTGAATGGTTTGAGCTCCTTTGTGCGGAAAATATCTTGGCGACGTACGTTCCTGACCCATACAGTCAATTCAGCGTGGCACGACCACTTACGGGATGCGTACACTGATGCCCCCCGCCTCATCACCGTCCTCCAAACATCTGCCGTCGCCCCGTATATCTGCAGGCAAAGGCGAAACCTAATTTGACAACGGACATTGGAGGCAATTTCAACGAAGAGTGAGTTGTACAAGTGGCTATACTCATTACGCGAGAGTAGTTATCATGTGTATTATGTGTTGTGGCACCGTGTTTCCACTGCACATCATTTGCCAGAGCCAAATCACTATTCGGTTTATAACCACACTGTGGCGCTTACCCCTGGACTGCATATACATGTTGACAGCAACCCATGTATAAGGGGAAATCTACTATGAATCTGAATCTATCTTTATCTACCTTTATACTTTTAGTACTACATTTGTTACCTTTAAGCCTTTGCTTAACACTCCTCGGATTACTGTACCTACACTACAGAATGCCCCCCGAACAATCTGACCGCAAGTCGGAGAACCAATATGAGAACCTTTCCAGTTCTACAGAGAATGCCGGTGGATCCGATTCTCAACATGGTGCAAATTTTGCAACTGATCGTGACAAACAAATCGATGACCGCTTTGCACGATTGGAAGCACGCTTGGAAGCACGCTTGGAAGCTAAATTTGATGAATTAGTTGCAAAGTTATGCCCTCCCGATGCTTCTCCTGCCAACCCTGCTACTCCTGATAGTCCTGAATCTCCTGCTAATCGTGTTGTACCTTGGTTAACAGAACCTCAGAGGCGAAATGTGATAAAGCCAGACTACTACAGTGAAGTCAATGGTAATACTGAAATTGATTTGGATACTGCTTTGAACGTTTCCGCTCCGTCAATCAAAAACACAAATATTCCTGTGAAAAAGACGCAACAGTCGAATGACTTGCTTCCTGCAAAATGGTTATGTGAAATCAACAGACATAACAAGCCCAACAGAAATGAATCCAACTTCAGTGATTGCATCATTTACCTTGACTACATTCTTTCTGAAATGGACACGTATGTATTGACGGACGAACAACGCGCCCAATGGTGGAATCACACAGTGTTATATTTCCCAGAAGACATAGTGGCGGAATACCCGAAAGGTACAACGATAGCGGCAGACCAGAAGAATCTTAAGGAATATTTACTCGAACAAAGGAAGCGCAAGCTTGACACTACTACCTCATCGATGGAAATCTTGCGAACTCGCTTAAATGATGATACATACGTACGGCGCAAATATGCAAATATCCGCCGAGGTGCGATGATGACTGCCTGCGACCAGCCGCTCATGAAGTATCATGGAATGTGAACACACAGGTGTGGTCCATGTTACAAAGAGCGTATATATATCGACTATATCGAATGATAACGGCAACAAAACTTACTGATGTGGATGCTACCAAATAACACAACCCTTGCGATTATTAAGTCTACAAAGCATGTGAGGAGGGCCTTACCACAGGTTCGAAGAAACATCACCATATCGACATAATCAGGTGCTCCGAGGTAAAGGGATTCTGTCGAAATTAGATTAGCCAACGGCAACTCAAGGAGAGCATCATAAAGGCGACTTCAACGTTAGCACATACGAATTGAGCCCTTAAAGAACACGGTAGTTTTTGACTCCACCACTCCTATGACGCTTGCTTCTGTTGGATACCAATTGCTCACCACAAACTGCCTAGGCTAGATCTGATGCCATCAATAATACCACGCCACATTCACTGCTGCTTCCCCAGTTGTTGGCATTTGCTGATATAACAAGCAGGTTGTCCCATGTTCAAACTAATTCGTCAAAACTCAACCAAGACCTTTTTTTCCACATTATAGATTCATTACAGATTGTCGTGTCTATTAAGCTCGAGGTATCGCTGCCATTTTCTTAATAGTCTTCAGCGAGTCGGCGAAGCAACGGAGAAGTGGCCAGCGCTATCTTTGAACGCAGGGTCTATATATCATGGACCCACTGGAAGCCAGCCTTTTTAGAGTCTGGAGGATGAAAGTTGAACTGGGAATCGTGTGCCGAGTAGATTTTGTAGACGGGCCTTTGGCAAGCCAAAACGAACACTACTGAAGTAAGCCTGTTCACGGTCATATATATCTCTATCATTACGTCTTGTTGGCGGAGACACTGACAATGAAATCTTGTACACACAGCCCACAATGGCATCGATGATAGATACGACGAATTGGTTCAAAATAATCCTTCATACATTTGTATCAATTTTACTTTGGCTAAACGTGTAGAGCTAAAGCTTCGCAGCCGTACCAGCGTACCAGTAAAGCCTTGTATCCTGATTTACCATTTTTGGTTGCCATTGACTTGTGAAGAAAGAGAACAAATCTTACGGTACAACATAACTTTGGTTCAATTTCAATATCATGAAACATCACTCAAAACTTAGTTTCCACTTTCACCTTCAGTGGACTCGTCTCGACGCTCGTCGCGCCCGCGTTTTCTCATCGATCGCACCCTGGCTGGAACCACATCATGTCAGACAACCCTATGAGCAAGGATCTGGCGATGGCGTTGGGCGACGACAGCCAGCCGCAGTTTGCCCACCTTACCCAGCCGCAGCTGGCGGGACAGCCGCAACTGGTATTCCCCCCGCAACAGGCGCCGCCGGCCCAGCTGGTGTTCCAGTCGCTGGCACCCCACCAGTTGGGGTTTGGCCCCCAACTGGCGTTTCACGAAGCCAATCTCCAATCACAACAACAACAACAGCAACACCAGCAACCACCACAACAACCGCAGCTGTCGTTCCCGCCACTTAACCAGCAACCGTCGGCCGACCACCAGCAACAACAGCTCGCCGCCGCCGACGCCGAGATCGAGAAGCTCAGCCAAACGCAACAGCAAATGGACCAGGGCAAAGTCGACGCCATCAACGACGACGAGAAGCGCGACATCGACTCGCGGCTGATCTACATCGGCAACGTCGACTACGCGGTGACCCCGGCGCAGTTGCTGGACGTCTTCTCCGCCGCGGGCCAGGTGCAGCGGGTGACGATCATGACGAACAAGGTGACGGGGATGCCCAAGGGGTTCGCCTACCTCGAGTTCGTCGACACCCTGCTGGTGCCGCGCGCGGTGCTGGAGCTCGACGGGCACATGTTGAACGACCGCCAGCTTAAGGTGAGCGCCAAGCGCACCAATATCCCTGGTCTTAGTGGTGTTGGTCGCGGCGGTCGTGGTGGTCGTGGTGGACGTGGCGGCTTCCGTGGCGGTCGCGGCGCCATGAGAGGCGGCCGTGGTGGTCGCGGCGGGGCTCCTCGTGGTCGGGGCCGCTTCCAGCCTTACTAATGGTTGCAAGTACTTTCTGCCTCATTAACGGTTGCAGACGCTTCCTGCCTTACAAGAAAACTATTACTTTACATCGACGAGATTACGGTTTAGCAGTGTCATGATTTACTACTTTTTTCTTCAGGTTAATAGAGAGATCCTTCATTATTTTGCCTCTTTCGCCGCTCTCTCCACTTTGCGGGTGTACGTCTGTTGCACGAGCTCCAGCATTGGCTGCTTGTCATCCTGTTTAAGCCCCTCTACCACCCCTTCGACGTCAGCGGGCCGGCGGTCCTGGTCAAACTTGAATTTGGCTTCCCAGCTAGAAATCTCGATCTCAAGCCCGATGATCGCTTTCTTCATGATCTTGGTGTATGACTCCGGAGCATCACTCACTTTCCACGGCACTTGGCGGTCGTGTTCTTCCTGGTTGGTTAAACTTTCAAGAGCATGGCTTAAGAATTCCTCCAGATCAATCACTTTGGGAATACCCTTAATGTGGACGGCACCAAAGCACCAGGTGGGTACCACTTTGTGAGTCTCCTTTTTCGAAGGGTAATACAGCGGGGTGATATAGGCGTCGTCACTCTTGAAAATCACCAATACCGGTTCTCCCGATTCTAACTGTGGCCGCTGAGGATTAGCACGAGCAATGTGGGCAATGAGATAGTCCTTACCGTCTCTATGTTCCAAATGGAAAGGGAAATGGTTTGCTTGTAAGTCCGAGGACACCACCGTGGCCAACGGGTAGTGCTTGATGAGGGCCTGGGCCTGGTCCCAGTCGTCTTCTGCGTACTTTTTTGGGATATACATCTGGGGGGTATTGACTTTGGGATGCCAGAGCTGTGAATATGTATATATATGTGGTGCCAGTTACCTACGGGCAATTTGTCAGCGCTGATGACTCCGGCGATAATGGTGCGGCTTCGCACCGTCCTAAAAGGGTAACTCTTTCCTCCCCACCGTGCAAGTGAAGCTCTTATTGACACAAAGGCAAGTCAAAAGTTACAATTATAGTGAACATGCCAAGATGATCCCGAGTCAAACCGTTATTGTCTTATTCGATAACTGGTTCTAGAAGCAGTGTTTAACGAAGACCTGGGTCTTAGACCTCTGGTGACTCATTCTTACCCCTACGTGTGAATCACCGCCTATGTCCGAGTCATATCACACGGGCATTAAAGCGCACCCGCTAGCCGCTAACCCTCGAACGGATAAACTCTTAGAAAGCATTTTATACAAAAAAACAAACCCATTTGTAAATGATGTATTAAAGAGTTTGAAATAAAGCACCACGAATTAACCTTCTCGATGATACATTTAAAACCAAGTACAACACTCTTAACTTTTAACTAATACATTTTTAACTAGCATTATATAATACATAAAATCGTTACTGGTACTCCTGATCGTACCCGGGCTCGGCGTACTCCTCATACACTTCTTTTTTGATGGCGGTGTCGCCGCGCTCGACCTGATCCTGGTGGAGCGTTGGGTCGTGAGACTCGTCAAGCGGCGCCATCGTGTTTGGTGGCGGGGCAGCAATAGTGGGGTCGGGAGGGGCACCGTTGTCGTCAAGGGCACCGTCACCGGGGGGTGGCGCCGCTGTCGGGGCTCCTGTCAGCGCCCCCGCTGGAAGCAGCGCTGCTCCTTGTTGTTGGTAGTCGTAGCCGTCGTAATAGCGCCCCGAAGGCGCCGGTGCCAGCGGGTACTTCTTAGGTTTTTCTTCCTCTCGCGGCACCACGTCGATCAAGAAGTCAAACATATCCAGCTTGGTGAGCGCCGCGGCGATATCCAGCTTCTGAAGCGTTCGCCGCTTGTTTTCCTCGGCGTGGATCCACGCTCTCATTGTGAGCTCAGTGATAAAAATGTCACATCCTTTGGCAAAGAGGATGGGCGCCTCGGCGCTGATCATACGCACGTCTTCGTCGGTCTTCATAACTTTTTTGATCCGGGCAAGCGGGAGCTGGTGGTTCTTGAAGTCGTGGTCGTCGTGTTCAATCAGGTTGATCGTTTCCTGCCAGTACTGCATCATCATATCGCGGTACTTGCCCTTAAGACCCTGGCCGACGTTTTGGAAGGCGCCCCCAGGCTGGCCGGCGGCGGCGGCTGCTTCGGCGGCCGCAGCAGCAGCTATGAGCTCTTCCTCATCGACAATCGGCGGCGCCGGTGTCACGCCCTCAGAGGTCGTCTCGGGCGCCTGGGACGGGTCCTCGGCGTACTCGTACTCCATGGTGGAAAATCCGTTATCGGGGTTCAGGCACTTTTTCATCGCGCCTGGCGGCGCTACCATGCGCACCGCGACACGGCGCTACGATCTGCTACAAAACAATGATGTGACCGATAAATAATTGTAGAAGAAAATTTGTTTCCCATTTTAGTATTGCACTTACGCCTAGCTCAACTTGTTTGGTCAAGGGAATCATGTTTGACATTACATCACTAAAGTTACGTCTTAGAGCCAGGGCCCTCACTTTGAAGCGTGTGTTTGGTCTTCGTTACCACTCATTAAAATTAGGGAGCTTTCACCAAAACGGCTTGAATTAAGACATGGATGCGTTCATTACAATGGGGGAAGCAGGATCTCAGACAAAGCCCGCTGTAGCAGCTCACGGTGGAGTGTTTTCGCCAATTCCATTATACTCTCGTTCATCATATCAGCGAAACCAGCATTGATTGCGTCCCAGACGAACTGATATTGCTTTATGCCCGATTCAAGCGTTTTCCGGTGTTTGTCGTGGAACCCCACGAGGGAGCTTAATATTTGCTCAATCCGGAGGTAGGCTCTTTCGTTCAATGCCTTTTGTCGATCTCTCTCGTCATCAAGTAAGTTTTGTTTCGAACCTCCAAGGGCAACCACCAATTCCAATACCCATTCACTTTTTATCTTTTCATACTCCTGTTCCCACACCTCACCACACCCCTTGATCAGCTCGATCGCGGTGTTCTTCTCCTTGGCAGTAGCATACACCATTGGTCTGATGAGTCTGCTGGCAATATCAATAAAAACAGATCTTATCTGGATGTCTCTCGTTATCGCCTTTGCCAATGTAGTGTGCAATGCAACCTCCACCAGCGCCTGTTCGGTTTGAGTGCATTGACCTAGGAACCGTTGCAACTGAGGCGAAGCCATTATCGTCGAGGGATGGTGGTATTTGATTTCGATGCTGTTTTCAAGTTGTGGTTTACTTGGGGGTTCAGACATAGTATGGACGTTAAAGTTATGGCCAGAATCGGCTCGAGGGTCGGATGACCCCGCCGGTAAGGAGCTGTTCATGGTCAGAAGTTATTGGGGTAAACAGTATGTATTCAATCGGGAGTTCGTATCCACTAATTAAGTATATGAGATTACGATCTCCATGGCTGGGGGGTCGTGCGGCTAAATGCTGATTAGGTGGGAGTCAAGTGATGTTTCAAGGCACGGCTTGGCGAATGCACGGTCTCGAAAGACCGAGGACGGTACTGCACCAGCATGCCAACAGAAAGTGAGGAATATGCTGTGTTTATATACTATGTGAGTTGATGCAGGCGATAGACTTATGGAATTGAGTGCATTCACGAATGATATGACGTTGACCAACAAAGCTTATTTGCGGGGGTGTTGCCTTTGGCTCAATGTGATAATGATTCATTTCGGTTTTATTTTATCATTAGTTGGTATGGCTCTCAATCGACTCCACAAGGCTTCATTGTTATTGATGATCCAAGAGAGTAACGAGCAACTGTTGGGCACTTAGCACGCCTCGATCGCTGTGGATCTGGAGCTGGTGGTCTGTGACCCTCTCAAAGGTCATCCCTTGGTGAAAGACTGGACCAGCGGCAACACCGAGTGTAACCGAATAAACAAGCGCGAGTGCAATAGCTCCTCACCAAGACCATCACAGAGCAGAAGGTAGCGGAACCCCCGTTTCATATGCGAGAGGTTCATCATTGTTTGGCCCATCAAGTGGTCACCGTCGCTGTTGACCACCAGAAGACGGATAAACACAAACTGAGGGTACACGGTGTCGATGTCGACTTCAAACCGTTGGTTCCACAACGGGTTAAACCCATTATTATGGACGATCGCCGTACGTAAAAGCTCGCAATCAGGTCTCACTTCACCACCAAACACCTCTAATGTCACGTAAGGGTTCGAGGTGGCAGTCTCTCTCAGCCGAACCAAGTGATGAGCTCCAATTACCATGAGTCTGAGCTTCACCGTTTGCATCGTCGGTTGACGTGTGATGACAATCTTCGATGACTTGAGGAGGGGTTTGCGCAACGAGTCTGGCTTGAGCACGTACCCTTGGTGGTTAGCAGCCGCAAATAACAGCTCGTTGATTTGCTGGCCAGCGTCGTAGGTTTGCCAATTGGTGGCTACCATTTGGGCTCCGTGGGCCCAGTATCGTATGGGTATGAAGTTCAGCAGCTTCACTCTCATCTGCGACGGGTAGATGCGCATGAAGTACTTGCGGTTGTGTTTGTCTATTGCATATCGTTTCTCGTCATCCTTTAGCATATTGTCAAAGCTCTTTTCCGAAAGGGAAAAGCAATGGTTGAATGTCTTGGATTCAGGAAGAGAGAAGTTGGTGAACTTAAGCCCCAGTAAGTAGACGCCAAGCAGCCCTAGGCGGTGGTCAATTTTCACTTTAGTTTTGCGGTTACGCCGGAAGAGACTTCCGGTCGACGACCGCCGCGTATCTGAGGTTCCATCCTCACTGAACGAACTGGTGGTAACGGAATCACTGGTAGAAAACATGCTGAAGAACGACGACCCTTCTGCTGGTGATGTTGGCGGTAACGAGTGAGCTGGTTGTTCAGAAAGCTTCTCTGATATCGTCCCTTTCTTAACTTTGATGAGGATCTTGTGTTTCAAATCCATAGGACTCGGAAGCACCACCAGGTCCTCCACGATCGGTTTCGACACCAAAAGTTCATCCAAGATATCATGTATAAGCTCAGCCACTTTCACCTGACGGTTGACCAGACAATGGACTTCCAACGATAAAATGAGCGGCCATGGCAGCGTCACAAACGCATACTGTCTTATTGTCCTCAACACGTTCAGAAGACTGATGAGGGTAGTGAATGTGCGTCCGTGACTGACAATGGGTTCCTCGTCCCCGTCCAGCGGGGGGTCCCATATATCAATCTCAACACACTTACACCCACGTTGTAAGGCTCTGATGTAGGCTTCAATCGACGAATCACCTACTACTTGGCGTCCCATAAGGTAGGTATTGTGTGACGACGAGATGTAGTACTCGTTCAATGGGTGGGAGTAGTAGGGCGTCTCTCCAGCATCAACAATTGCCAACGGTTTCAGATACCGAGAAAGGAGGAACTCATTAAGTGAGTCTTCGCCAAACACACCGTCAACGGCAAATCTGTTATACATCCGTGTGATGCGATCAGGGTGTAGATGCTCGTGTTGGATGTCATTGACGAAATGGGCAAATTCATCGCGCAGAAGACTCTTGGAAGCTGTAAGCGACGTGAATAGTTGATGGATATCTGGTCGCCGTTTGAGGACAGCGACAAATTGTTTGAATTCAGCGATAGTTAAACCACGCGTGGGGTCACCAGCAACTTTATCGTACACCGGGCGGAGCGTTTGCGGAGGTAAGTTGATATTAAGCAGGTCTGCGTACTGGCAGATGCGGTCAAATGATAGACGTTCGCTGGCTTTAGGCGCAAGCAGATCACTCGTAGGTGAAGTCACCAACACTGCCAAGTCAGCCTGGTAGTGTTTGGCGAGAGCACACTCGTGCCCATTATCGGGAAGCAACAAGTTCTGACTAAGCTGGTCATGGATAGCTTGAAGCTGCTGGAGCGCAGTATAGATGGCGTCAGCATCAGTGTCAGTATCAGCAACAATGTGTAACAGTTTGGCCCGAGCTTTGCGCCTATGGAAGTAGCGAATCGTAATCCACCGAGACTCAATGTCGTTACTCAAATTGTGCTCTTCACGGTAGATAGCGGCGTCGGCTCTGTGGATAACCTGGCGGACATCGTGAACGCTGATCTCGTGTACTTTCAGCGCCCCAATCAACTTCAGCGGCTTCCACTGTGCCTGCTGCCATGAGAAGACAAATCGAGATCGATCAATTCGAAGAGTGACCCGCTTGCGTGACTTGTGGGAGATCTTAAGGCACAGTATACCTCTCGTAGCGAGCGATGCTGGTACTGACACTGGAGGAAGCTCTAGCAGCTCTTCACTCAGTAAAGGTGACACTGGACGTGATTTTACCAGTGAGTTTGGGTTGCCATTGGTGCTGGTGGGGGCTGTAGATGCTGGCAGTGGGCGCACTGGGGGTGCTCGGAGTTGAGGGGAGTAGTAGGCCAAATCTGAAGGCAGCCGCTCCCGGAGAAAAGGTGGGTGGTCCATATGGGAGGAGGTAGGCACCTGGGACCTACAATCGGTGGACAGGTGGCGCTAGTGGCGCTATCGAGGTGGTAATATAAATGAGCGAGGCTGAGGGTGGGGCGATCACATCCCGCCGCGTGCGCCTCACCGTGAACCCAAAAGGGGGGGTCCGAGGAAGCAGAGGAGGCAACGAGGAGAAGCACAACGTAATTTTGAGATAACAACTGATTGGTTGTATTTTTGATTGGTGATTGTTTTAGTAGTTGGTGAGGCTATTGTGTCAAAATTTGCATCCACAAAAGGTAGGAAGTCGTCTCACACGAGTGGGTGGTGAGGCTATTGTTTAAGGTCGTCTCAACAATGGCTATTGATGAGCTCTTGGATCGGTGGTAAAAGGTCTAGACCCTAGTGGGCTAAGCAGTAAGATACAAACACTGATTGCATCCATATGTTTACAAAATACAACCACGTAATGGTTAATCTGTTTGGTGCTAAGCTGTGCTTAATTTAGCATTCCAAGGCTGAGCACCTCAGCCACCGCTAAATGTGTCTACAAGTAGAAATTACGAGACACACAGATGGTAACGACAAAAACGATAATCTGATGATTCCCTTGCTAGGTCGATTAATATAATCATCTATTTGTTGATGACGAGTCTTCTATGTCTATAAGATACTTGATCATTCTAAACGAACGTCCATGCCTTGTTCACGCAAGTGGGCCTTGACGTCGTTAACAGTGTATTCGCCCCGGTGGAACAACCCGGCACCCAAGGCGGCGTCGACGCCACACTCCAAGTCAAACACTTGCTTGAAGTGGCCAGGGTTACCGGCACCACTCAGCGCGATGACGGGGATGCTCACCCGGCTCTTGACTTGGTGCAAAAGCTCCAAGTTGAACCCCAGGTTGGTACCGTCGTGGTCGATGGAGTTTAAGAGGATTTCACCAGCTCCCAACGCTTCGCAAGCGACACAAAGTTCGAGCGCCCCCATTTCGTGGGTCTTACGACCACCTTGGGAAGTGACTTGGTAGTAGCAGTATCGTTCACCTTGAGGACCGTAACGAGCAGGGTCTTCGATCTTAATCACTTCTTGGGTGGTTTGCAGCGGGTCGGCGATGTATTTCCGCTTAGGGTCGACGGAGATCACCACCGCTTGAACACCAAAAGTGGCGGAAATCGTTTCAATAGACGACTTACCAGTACCCTGTTTACCATTAGCGTACCAGGCTTCGGCGATGGCAACAGCGTCCAGACCAATCAGTACCTTATCGGCACCGGCCAAGAAGTAGGCCGCCGCCACTTTCAGAGCAGGAACAACGGTACCGTCAGCTTCAGTCAAATCCTTAATGCCCCCACCCACAGTCAAGGGAACGAAGATCGTCTTCGCCGCTTGTTTAAGCACTTCAAGCATCGGCTGGTCCTTCAACGGGTCGTTGCGGAACGAAGTGATGTTCAAAAACGTGATTTCGTCGGCCCCTTGGTTATAGTAGCGGGTGGCAAGCTCCACAGGCTTACCTAAGTTACGCACATTAGCATTATCGTCTTTTTCTCTGACGTCGTACTGGTCACCTTTAGTGACGACGAGATCGCCTTGGTCGTTCAGTCTAACATCAAGACAGGCGATGATCCGCCGCAGCAACCCGGAGAGGGTAGTTTCAGTGGCAGCGGACGACAGCATCGTCAGAGGAGCCCCCTGGGCATCAGGTTGTCCTTGTAAAAACGCTTTGAGCACAGCCAAACCAGCCTTACCGGACTTCTCCGGGTGGAACTGGGTGGCAAACACGTTTTTACGAGCCACCGCCGCCACAAATCTTTCGGAACCGTAGTTGGTGAAAGCAAAAGTCCAGCCGTTAGCTTCTTCAGCAGTAATCTGTTCCTTCTGGGAGTCAACAATCGCCGCATAAGAGTGGACGTAGTAGTACTTGTTGCTCGAATTAATCCCGTAAAGGTGAGTGGTATCACCAGAAAATTGAGCCACGGAGTTCCAGCCAATTTCTGGGACGGCCTTCTTTTGGCCCACTTTAGTGAAAATAGGGTCTTCGGTGGTGAATTTGGCAAGCTTCATGTCCAAGAGACCCAACCCTTGTTGGCCGGGAGCCTCCTCCGAGAACTTCATGAGCACTTGTAACCCAACACAGATCCCCATGATGCGCCGGCCCAGGGCGATATATTCAAGCACCGGCGTAGCCAAGCCTCTCTCGGTGACTTGCTTGACAAAGTGACCATAATTGCCGACCCCTGGGAGCAAAAGGGTCTCGATATTGGCATTGTGTTGTTGGAAATCGGCGGCGTTGCGGATGAACACGACGTTAGCGCCGGGGGCCACTTGGTCGATGGCGTTGGCGAGCGACTGGAGGTTCCCCAGTTCCACGTCTACCACATAAATCGTCGTCATATGGTGGTTGTTAGGAGGAGAAAGGTGATAAAGGGTGGTGAGGCTGACTCGGACCAATTTTTCAGGTGACTCACGCGCCAGTGGTGACAGCCAAGATCCACGGAACCCTCAAGCAAATGGTAAATTGAGATTTATGTTATCTTAGCAAAGAAGTATCTAATGCAATTCAAGTCTACTTTTGGTTTCAACAGGTTAGATTAATGTTATGATTCGAAGCGTTCAAATCACTGTATACTGGAGATCTCATTCATCAGCAACGTCAATATATCGATAAATAATAGATCTACTTGAAGATATGACTCAACATCACTTTAGATTCAGTTGGATGATCCAATTTTCGAATGTCTAAGTAAATTATAGGTATTTTTTGACTCATGTTTCTTTTGACGACCCCACGCTTATCGAGGGCATCGCGCGCGATAAGCCGATCGACACACCCATCCTCCCCACGATGACGTTGGAGAAGCTCACGGGGCGTGCCCTTTACCAGGCGATGGGCCTGCCGAAGACGGTGGTGGCTCCCATGGTCGACCAGTCGGAACTTGCCTGGCGCATTCTTTCTCGCCGCTACGGTGCCGATCTCTGCTATACTCCGATGTTCCACGCTCGTCTCTTTGCCAACGAAGAAAAGTACCGCCGGCTGATGTGGTGCCCTGAGCTTGATGGCCAAAAGGGAGATAGACCTTTGATCGTCCAGTTCTGTGCTAATGACCCCGATACGTTGCTTAAGGCCGCCCAGTACGTGGAAAACGACTGCGATGCCGTTGATCTCAATTTGGGGTGTCCTCAAGGGATCGCCCGGAAAGGTAAATACGGGGCGTTTTTGATGGAGGACTGGGACCTTGTGTATAAGCTTATTAATACTCTCCACAAGCATTTGAAGGTCCCCGTGACCGCTAAGATCCGCATTTACGACGACTGGGAAAAGCTGTTAGAGTATGCGAAAATGGTATTACTGGCTGGAGCCCAATTCATCACCATCCATGGGCGTACTCGTGACATGAAGGGACAACAAACAGGGCTTGCCAACTGGAAAATCTTAAAGTATTTGCGGGACAATTTGCCCAAGGACCAAGTGTTCTTCGCTAACGGTAACATCTTATACCCTGAAGACTTGGCTCGCTGCACTGATGAAGTTGGCTGTGATGCAGTGATGCTGGCTGAAGGTAACTTATACAATCCAGGGGTGTTTTGGACCAAAGACAGCGACATCGACAAGCAGTTCCCACGTGTCGATAAGCTTTTACGAGAATACTTTGATATCCTCAAAGATGTAATCCCCAAGGGGCTGGAAGCATCACGCCACGCGATGAAGGCCCATTTCTTCAAATTGCTCCACGCGTTCCTCGTCAAGAACCCCGATATGAGACCGATGATCGGGCAGACAAGTGTCCACGCTTCTCTTGACGATTGGGAGAAGATTGTCGCCGAAGTCGAGCTGAGAGTGGCTAAGATCTACGAGGATCCTGAAAACAAGGCTGAAGATAAAATAACGGTGGGTCCCGTCCAGCTGTGGGGCGGAAGCTACCGTACCGTGCCTTACTGGCGGGCTCAGCCGTATTTCCGTACCGTCGACGGTGAAAAGCAAAATACACGAGTGCTTAAAGTGGCGGGCGAAAAGCGTCCCGCTGAAGAAACCGACGCCCCCGTTGCCAAGAAGACAAAACCAGAGGCCACCACTGAGGCCACCACTGAGGCCACGACTATGGAAACTAAGGCTGAGGCGAAGGCTGAAGAGACCACTACTCAAACCTAAACTGGATGATGATTTTATCGGTATACACACGACCCATAGGTTTGTGAGCCCCGGCCCCCAGCATCGACGCAAGGCACCACGATCGTCGCCGAGTGCTCTCCCTCCCACGAGGCATGGAAGCAGCAGGCCACCTCGCAACCAGCCATCGCCCTCACGACAAATAGATTCTTCATGTATTTAATCAAAGCACTTTTTGCCGCATTGAGAAGTAACCATAATAATATCCGCGGCCACCACCGATTAAAAGGCAGCTCCATCCGGTGGAAAAGGAAACGGGATCATTGCTAGCATTAGCCGACAATAATATATATACGATGCTTTCCTGAGTAAGTTGGTTGGCAGTTGCTGTTGGGACCCACCCGAAGCAGACAGATGCACTGGAAGTTTCTTATGGAGAGGGGAACAAAAGTTTATTGGGAATATGTCCATTCCCCATTGGTAGAACACGCTATCGAGGCGACGTCATGACATCGACGTCATGAGGGGGTTGTGGGGGGACAGACCTGTCGCCACCTGTGGACCCTGGACGCTCCAGAACGCCATGAGTCAGGCTGATGGGTGCACATGACCAGAGAAAAGGTTTTACGGGGGAATGTGGGGTGCACCACCCACTGTGGCTCTAAACACGAACGAACGATAATGGTTCTCGCTTAGGCAAGCGATTGTTCTCTGGAGAATACCTACCAAACGATAGTATTAGGGTTGTTCGTTGTAGACACTGTGCTCGTATATTTATTTGAAAAATCGCTATATATCTCTGTGGCTCCAGGCCACTAGTCCCATTATTAAAAAATCCTTCTTTTTTTTCTCTCTCTCTGTTGTTAAACGCAGCAAGTCACACCCCAATCAATCGCTCCTTTGTGAACTGAAAAATACCACCAAAAAAACACTCCGCGGCGACGACGACGGCCTCAGCCACCGTCACCGCTTCTTTTGTGAGGGGAGAATGGGCACGGGCCGCCCGTCCAGGGTGCGGGGGCCCTTCTTCTTCTTCTTGTCCGACAACTCCAAAATGCCTTCGAGGTACCAATCGTCGCCCATGTCTGATAAGTTTTGGTTTAAGGCAGGAAGAATCAGCTGTGGCGAGGGGTGCTTATATATGTTCTTCGCAGTGTCGGCGGTGGCTCGTCAAAGCGTTTTGCTTGCTGTAGCACCTCACCCAAAAAACGCTACCGCTCTGCAAGGGGGGCACGGGCCACGTCAAAAATAATTCGTGGTAGGCGGTCTAACCCCCCATCAATGAAGCCTATACGACGCCGAGCACGCCCTCGGGCGGGACGTCAACCCCCCCAATGACTCAGCCGCCGTGTCGGTGGTGCATCGTTTAGCTCTTTGTTGGGTGACCTCTTCGCATCGCCGCTGCCAGGCCTCGGCCCAGGTGGTCGATGGGGCGAATGGTGCGAAATAATCTTCCAAGCGAAAAGCTTAATCGAGGCATGTAGTCGCCACACACGCACTGCCTGTGGTAGCAGCATCAAGCGGGGAAGCAGTGTTGGTCCATTTGGGCAGCGGCAGCTGGTCGTAACACCCAACCAAAACCCCACCCGAACGCGTCGCGTCCTCGTCTCCACCTGTCTCCTTCGAGAGCCCATCCCCTCATCCCCCTCGTCAATGCGAGTCTCGTATGCGAGATTTGGGGCCATGGTCCACACGCCCCCCGCCCCGGTGCTGGGCGCGTGATTTAGCTGGCAAGGCGCACACCCCCGGTTACCCCCCACCGGAGTTGGCACCCACGACCACAATAGTGGCAATTATTGCGTGGTGGCAGACAATACCATTAATGCGACCCTAATGTCTACATCAATAGGCCGCGGGACCATTACGCACTCTCGCGCGCACACACCGCTCGAGACCATTGATATTATATGGGTGTGTATTGAGAACTACGCGTCGTCAATGGGAATCCTATGTGACGGTGAGGAGGCGGAGCCGAAAACACCCCCGATCTTTCGATCCGTTTCCATCATCCCACCCACATCGGGTCAACTCGGGTTTGGTGGGTTTTGAGAGAGGGGCGTGCCGTCATTGTGGAGTGAAAAATTTCGCTCAATCCCGTAGTCTTGGCCGGACGCCACAGTGTCACCAACTGAAAAATTAAAAAAAAAAGAACGAGTGAAAAATAAACATCGCTTGGAGAAAAAAAACGATCGCCGCGATGGACAGAATTCGCCTGACACTGGAATTGAAAGCTGATTTGCTAATGAAGGGAAGAGGAAAAGTGGCTGGCCCAGCACAGTTAACCGTATCCCGTAAACGTCTAAACAAACGAGGGGTGGCGCGTGAAGTGTGCGTAGAGTTTAGTGTAGTGTCTAGACGTCATGTCGCTCAGCATACGAAGTGCGTAAATTGATAGCGAGCAGAGATAATGAAAAAAAAAGTGTGATAATAGTGTGCGTGTATTGATAATTCGAGCGTGTCTTTTCTTTGTGAATTGGAGGGGGTTGAACAAAAATGAGTAGGTAAAAAAGGTGGGTCCAGCCACACGGATGTCGAAACAAAAGCGGGGCGGGCGATGCTGCTCCTCATTATGCTGATGCTGATACCACACGCACACGCAAGATGCTGCGGGTACTCTCGGCGCAGAGTCCGGAAGGTGCGTCGTGACAATAGGGCGATGGCGCCCGGGGGGCCAGCGCCATCGGCCGCCGTCAATAATTGGAAAAAAAAAAACAATCAATGCTTATGTACAATGCCGTCGGAAAACCGGACTAACGCCCGGTCCAGGGACCACACAATGGCAAGTCGTCGTCGTCGTCGCCCATCAGCGACACCACCCGCGGCGGGAGGGTCTCTCTCGGAGGGAGTCCTGCCCACTCCATCGCGGTGCGTGGGGCTTTAGGTTTGCGCTGTTTCTGGGAGTTGAGACGCTTGAGGAGCGACTTCCGCGGCGGCGCCAGGTCGAAGATCGCCTCCGCCAGGTGTTCCGACACTGGCAGCGACAGTTCCGACAGCGCCACCTTCACCGACGGCGCCAGGTGGCGGTAGGTCACCAGCGGCCGTCTTGCCGGTGCTGGGTTGGAGAACACCAGCAGCGCCGCCAGCGAGCTGGGAGGGGTGCTGCGCTGGGCCAGGGCCCTGGGAGGGGTGCTGCGCTGGGCCAGGGCCCTGGGGTCGATCCACAGACCTGGAGGGTGGTGGTGGTGAGGCTGGGAGTATAGCTGCTGCGACTGGGTCCGCACCGCTGCCGGCGGCGCCGCGTGGTGGTCGAGATAGCGCGGGGCCTCAGGCGACGCCGTTCGCAGGGCACCACCTCTGGCAGATACCACCCGCGTGCGCTTCAGGATGAGGCCGGAGCCGTTGTGCTCGTCGACGATGTTCGCCTTGAACTTGGAAAACACCATAAAAGGCTAATTCTGACCTGTGGGGGGTGCCGTGGTAGTTAAATAAGTACGTGCAGGTAATATACGCACAAAGATGTCGGCGTCGCTAGGCGGGGCGAGCACGAGCCAATCGAGAAATGGTGGGGTGACCTCGAGGGAAAAAATCACAAATTGCCGCCGATGGAGGAACAAGGGGTAGGGGAAGTGCTTTGAGGGAGATAACCTATATATAGGCTTAGGTATGATTTGCCAGTTATTAGCAACTCCGAAAAAGCTGTGCGGGGGGAGACACGACACGTTAAGGGGTTTTGTATGGGAGCCGCGGCCTATTGTTTATATATGTCCTCACCAGTAGGGGGGCTGCCTAATAAATTGAGAGGGAAAAAAGAAAGCATGATAAGGTCGACAACACAACCGCGAGCATCACAACGCCCATTGTGGAGGTAGCTGATCCCGCATGAGCTGGCGCCACTCAACACGCCATTCTTCAAAAGGTTGTAGCCAGCAACCACCACCGTAGAGGGCGTGGTTGTGGCGTGTGGTCGCGTTTGGGCGTGACGAGCAAGGCTCATTCCCCAGACACTTTGGGGAATGAGTGGCTGCTAAGGTTTTTGTCGACACCTAGTTGCGAGCGCTGGGTTGAGAACCATAAAGAGGCAAGGCGACGTATGCAGGAGCGGCGCGCGCATGGCATGTAATGCTGGTCCACTGATGAAAGTGCCGACTACGGTGATGACGCCAACGTGGTGTACGGTGGCTCCCCCAATCCGCCAAAAAAGCGTAGGCGACGCCTAAAAATACACATAGTATAGAATTACTAAAATACTACACTAATTAGATCAATCCATCTACGTAACCCCCTTGTATAGCTACCCCCGCAGCTGTTTTTCCTCACACGACATGGCTGGCTCGGGGGCAGCTTCCCCCTGGTGCCTGGGTGCCTTGGTCGTTTATCTCCACCACTTGCAGAACAGCCTTGCGGAAGCCCAATGACGCGAGGTGGCAGGACGCTGGTGGGCACCCTAAACGACGACGTTTGCGTGGGTTGCGTGGCAGAGAAGCTTGCCGTCTTTCGTCATCGTGGTCCACACGGCTACGCCTGCCACAGTGAGAAAAAAGAATGAGGGTAATCGGGTCATTCATCGCTTGGAAAATACAATGTGTGTCGCGTGTACTATTTGATGTATGACGCCATCAGCTGTAAACTAAGGGCTTTTTTTTTTTCTGGTCTGTTTGCGGTGATTGATGACCACTACTAGCAGATTGCTTGTCGTCGCATTGGCTTTCCCTTGGTTTCGCACTAGAATTTCTGGCTGAGGAGGTAGTGTGAGTGCGAAATCCGGATTTAACCCGAAACTGATAAACCCGAAATCGTGGACATCGATAATCGACGTATAAACATCAACTAAATGCTACCCCAGACATTCACGACAACAAATATTTACAAGACCACGCCAAATAAGCATCTTGGAATTTACGATTCCCTCAATAAATTCACTTATACACAGTATATACAGTCTTCCTGGCCTACACAGGCTTATCCCTTTGTAAATGTTCGCTGCGTCTTCAACACCGGACCAGCTGTACAACCACCCTCGGGAAACTGTACATAGTCAGTGGCTCCTCCTGTACAATCCATTCCTCTATACAACTTGGTCTTCTATACAATCCCTCCTCCTGTACACGGTCATCCCCTTTTATTATAAAAACCCCTTGGTTCGTCCTCAAATTGGTGGTCCACCAAGATGCAAAAGACGAACTTAAAGTCGACAAAAGCGGGTAACAAAAAAGGAACCCCTGTTGTTAAGAAGATTAACAACGATGTCGACGACCAACCACGTCGAGTGCTTCGTTCTGGGAAGAACAACGTAAGTGACCAACCACAACGAGTGCTTCGTTCCGGAACGGTCAAGCCGAAATCGGCTGACGACAAGGAGCGTCGCCAATCGTGGAGCGACGAACGCAAAGGAGTCGTTGACAAAGCCGAAAAAATTCTTGATGGGCCTATTAGCAAGGATGCTGAAGCTGGCAACAAGGACCCGATTGAACCAGTCATCAGAAAAGCTAAGAAGAAAGCTTCCAAAAAGGCTGGTACAAAGAATTCCAACGAGGCTAGTGATGAAAAGACTGGCAAACCAGCTGACAAAGAGCTCGACCTCATCATTGACGACGCCCCCAAGCTGACTGACGCTGACGACTCTACTAACGAGGGGCCCCAAAAGTCTGTCGACGATGGTCAGACTACTCAAGACAAAACCCCCAGCCAGGACGAAATGTCGTCGTCGTCAACTGACTCGGATGACGACGTGGTTTACCGGCGCTCGCCAGCGAAACACACCAACGCCGATGTCGACCGCTTCTTCACGATCTACTTCAAAATGGAGAAAAAGAATGCTTCCAAAGCTGCTCGGGAAGCAGGTGTTACCATCCCCGCGGCTCAGAGATGGGTGCGGGAGTGGAAGCAGCTGGGAGAGTTGAGAATTCCTTATCTCACAGAGTGGGTGAGAACCTTCGACAAACCCCGTGGTTGGAAATCTGACTTCTTCAGGGCTACCCCTAACGACAAAGTGATCATTGATTCACGACTCATTCGTCAGCTGCTGGCGGGTGACAAATACTACCAATTTCTCTCCGAATACTGGGAAATGAAGAGACAACAACAGTGTGAACGGATGGATGTTGAAGAGGTTATTGATGTGTTGGAATTGAACTTCGAAGGACTCAAGCTTGACCGACCCAAGTTCCGCCAATCGCTCAGAGACGAAGGCATTTCCCACCGCAAATACGATTGAACTGGCCATGGCCAAAATTCCGGCCCGTTTCCGGTCGCACTCTCGTCTTTGTTTTCTCACCTCATTTTTTTCTCAACTGCAATGCGATAACCATGGCTGCGAACTCTGTCCCTCTCTCGCTTACTTTTCTTCTCCACCTGCTAACTCCAACTAACAGCGAGTTGCGAACACGTGACCTCAACGTCTACGACCATCTCGACCCGCTTCTCTATCTGTGATACCCATCTAACTTCAATATGACTATTATATGTGAAACCTTGTGTAACGATCGTACTACTGAACTAATAAATGAGACCAAATCCTTTAATTATGTAGCTTCTAATCCCAAATCTTAATCCCTGATCTTGCCACGGGGGAGGGTCGCGCGCTGACGGAGAAATCGCAGATTGGTAGTCGTCGGCCCAGTGTAGATGAAGTTCTCCCACTCGCTCCAGTTCAACGCCGTCCCGGAATGGCTGAACAAGTACATCGCCTACCTGACGCTCAAAAAGCTCATATACCGGCTCCAGCTGGAGCTGTTGCGCACGGGCGACCAGGAACGGCTCCTCTCGCTGCACCAAGGTGACCCCTCGGCGGTGTTCATAGCGGCGCTTGATGCTGAGTGTTCCAAGATCAATACCTTCTACAAAAAGCAAGAAGAAATTGCCCATCTTCAAGTGGACGAGTTGGAGGCTGATGTCCAGGAATACGAGCGCGAGGTGGCCTCTTCCGCCGCCGGCAACCGCAAAAACTCATTATTCCAATATGTGACCCATCTGAGCGCTACTGACGGTGGTGATACCGATAATATTACTGATTACCCTGAGGATGAGCCTGGTTCCGCTTCCGACGCTGCTCTCCGACGTGCTCTGATGGGATCCCAGCTTCTGGAGGACGGCCAGCGTGCTGCCAATACGCTGACGCTGTTACCCCACATTGCCCACTTAGCTGAGACCCGAGTGATTTTGCGTAAACGTATCATCGGCATGTTCACCACTCTCCTGGAGCTTAAGCTGTATATTGAGCTTAACGAGACCGGGTTCAAAAAAGCGTTGAAAAAATTCGACAAGTCGCTCAATACTCTGATCAAAGACGAGTACCTTAGCAGCCTTGGCGACCGCACCTACGTGTTCAATCCTACCACCATCGCTCAGCTCAACGAGAAAATTGATGAAGTGGTGGGGATGTACGCCGACATCTGTGCTCAACCCAAGGACCAGGCCCGCCTGGAGCTCTCGGTGCACTTGCGAGAGCACGTGGTGTGGGAACGTAATACCGTGTGGAGAGACATGATTGGCATTGAAAGAAAGGCCGAAGCCGCGGGGAAACCAGCGGAAAAGGAGCTGAGCCTGTCGCTCCAGTTGGGGCTGCGCATCATCAAGGTGTCGGTCATTGCTGCCATCACCGCGATACTCCTAGTATGGTCACCGTTTAAGGATACCGCCCAAGCCCACTGCTTTGCCCTTTTGGTGTGTGCTTCGCTCCTTTGGGCTACGGAAGCAATTCCGTTATTCTGCACTTCACTTCTTGTGCCCATGCTCATCGTCAATTTAAAGGTACTCAAAAACGATGACGGGCTGCTCATGGACGGACCCGAAGCGTCAAAGTTCATCTTGGGCCTGCAGTGGAACTCAGTGATCCTCTTGCTTCTTGGTGGGTTCACTTTGGCAGCGGCGCTTTCCAAGTACCACATCGCCAAGCTCCTCTCAACTTGGATCTTATCGAAAGCAGGTACGAGACCGCCCGCCGTGTTGTTGACGGTAATGTCAGTAGCATTATTTGCCCTGATGTGGGTGCTGAATGTCGCTGCCCCCGTACTTTGCTTCTCACTTATCCAGCCGCTTCTCCGCACTTTACCTAAAGAGTCTCAGTTTATTAAGGCTCTTATTTTGGGTATTGCACTTGCCCTGAACGTCGGTGGGATGGCGTCTCCAATCGCTTCCCCGCAAAATATCGTCGCTATCGGTGCCATGGACCCTCCTCCGCTGTGGGGCCAGTGGTTCGTGGTGGCACTTCCGGTGTGTCTTTTGCTGGTGGTGCTTATTTGGTTCCTCCTCCTCGTCACGTTTGACTGCCGCAGTCGCAACACTCGTATTGTCCCCATTAGAGTCATAGACGAGAAGTTTACTGGTACTCAGTGGTTCATTACGTTTATCACTATCGGCACCATCGCTCTTTGGTGTGTAGCGTCAAAGCTTACCGGGGTATTCGGGGAGATGGGGATCATCTCCTTAATTCCGATGATCCTACTCTTTGGTCTGGGATTGTTGACCACCGAAGACTTCAACAACTACCCCTGGAACATTGTGGTGCTTGCTATGGGTGGTACCGCTCTCGGTAAAGCGGTAGCGTCGCTGGGATTGTTAGCCACCATCGCTGAAGGTATTCAACGCCAAGTGGAAGGGTTCAGCTTATTTGCCGTCACCCTCACCTTTGGTCTCTTGATCTTGATCATGGCCACATTTGTGTCTCACACCGTCGCTGCCCTTATCGTCATTCCTTTGGTCAGCGAGATCGGTAACGAATTGCCCGAACCTCACCCGAGATTGTTGATCATGGCTGCGGCGTTGTTGTGTTCGGCCGCTATGGGTTTACCCACTTCAGGGTTCCCCAACGTCACCGCCATCTGCATGACCGACGAGTTCGGCAAGCCTTATTTGACGGTGGGGACGTTCATCACGAGAGGGGTGCCTCTGTCTCTTATCGCTTACGGTATCATCGTCACCGTCGGCTACGCCACGATGAAGTTGATCCACTTTTAGACCATATATATACAGTAATCGATTTAAACCTTATATTCCTAATTAATAACCTCTCCCTAAAGCAAATTATGTTAGAATTTTTCCCAGTACCATGCAAAATTTTTGGTGACTTTTCAGCTGCTGTCGCTCAGATCACCGTCGTCGTCGTCTTCTTCCTCTTGGGGGTTCACCTCCAGCCATTCGACGTACCACTTGTTGATGACTTCCTTCAGTTCCGGAAGCACGAGCGGGTCGAAAGGGAAGTAGGCTTCCAAGTCCAAGAACTCCTGTTTCCGCAGGAAGTTACCCACAGCGCTGGGGAGAGCCTTTTCCCCGTTGGTCTGGAGCAAGCGCTCGCGCTTGTTGTGCTCGATGATGGTGTAGCAGTAGCACACATTGAGCTTGGTCGCCAACTTGGCGAAAATCGCCACCACCGTCTCGTCGCAGTACTTGAGCGGGTTGAACTTGGTGACAATTACTCTGGTGAAGAACTTGTCGAGATCACACTCCCAGATCGAGTCGTTGGCGGTCTTGCCACCAGCGTCAGCCTGGCGGTATAATTCTTTGTAGCGGAAGCAGAAGATGTAGAATAATGCCTGTAAGGCAGCGTAGAACAACTTGAACCGTTCCATACCGCCTTTGATGCCGTCTGCGCCCACCTCGCTCTCCCTTTCGTCGATGTACTTGTTCAACCACTCCACCAAGTACAGCACGACAGAGATCACCTGCTCGCGCGAGACGTTGCGGGCACGAGCCAAGTACAGCGACAAGTACTGAATCGCCTTAAGTCTCAGCTCAATGTTCTCCTGCGGAGAGAGAGCCACTTCGATGAGCAACACCAAAAACAGCTCGGCGAGCTCCGGCTGGTGCTGCGAAATGTAGAAGACGAGAAACTGGATCAGCTTAGTGAAGTGCGTAGGGAGCACGTGCAGGCGGAAGAGCAAAGTGATCGTCTGGAAAAGTTTGATACCGGTTCCATTATTGATCTCTTCCACGGTGAATTTCAGTTGGGTGGTGGTCAACATGTGGTGGAGCACTCCGTCTAATTTCGCCGAGAGCTTACGAATATTGGCAGCGCTGTCGACGTCATCGATGACATACTCTTCGCCGTCATCATCACCTTCACCTTCTTCTTCATCGCTGCCGTCGTCGGCGTCGGCATCAGCGTCATCGGCGTCGGCAGCATCATCTTCATCATCTTCGTTTTGGTCGTCATCGTCGCCTTTACGGATGACCAGGTCGTCAACGTCGTCATCGTCGTCACTGTCGATCTCGGGGTTAAGCACTTCGTCGATCTCTTCATCATCAAGATCGTCCAACTCGTTTTGGAGCTCGACGTCAAGCTTGATGCACAGCTCATATACAAGTCTCCAGGCGTCGTACTGGAGCTCGGGACAGTAGGCGACGATGGCCAAAAGGTTAGAGGCGTAGTTGACCAATTCCTTGGGCGAAGAACTTAAGTGGTGCGGATAGCTCCGGCGCATGGTTTGTGGTATCGTACTAATAGATGTGGGAACGTACTGGATGAGACGGCGAAGCACGTAGTGGTGGTGTTGCCCTTCTTCAGGGTTGACGTCACAAAACTCGGAGAAGAGCTTCTTGGTGATGCTTTGCATGTATTTGGGGAACAGCGACACCAACACCACCAAGAACTGGGCGTAGGCGGACATGAACTCGGTGTGCTTTCTGAGGTCGGGCTTCAGCCACGAGTAGCGCAAAATGGCGTTGATAAGGTCCTGGGCACCGCGCCCGTCGAGCTTGGCCACGCGCTGGCCCAACCCGTTGAGAATGACGGTGAAATTTGCCGGCGAGAGCGCCTCCAGCAGCAGCATCGGCTTATCGATTTTGGCGGTAAGCAGGGCCACGGGGGTCTTGTCTCCCTAAAATTGTTAGTATATCGTTTGACATAAAACTTCAAGTTTCAATTTGCTAAAGTGGTGTGTGGCACGAGGACACGGGACATTGGCTGTGCGATGATTTGTTGATCCTCCCCCAGTTACCCATATACCTGTCACTGTGCACGTTGCCTACCCAAGACAAACTCTCAGTATTTACCCGCTCCGACCCCCTGAGATTAGTTATACCCGTTATTCTCCCAATATACCCGCTGTAACCCTCGCACGGCTCAGGCGCCACCACTTTTCGGAAATACTCGCTCAGTGGCAACTTACCTGGTCAAGGGCGTCCAACGCCAGCTGGACGATGCTAGCATACATTTTCTCGGAAAACTCAGTGATAGACTCGGCGGCAGGGCCGGCACTGTGCCGGGCACGCTTGGCGCTCGGCGCATCCCCACTCATGATGATGTCTCGTTGGCGTGGCTGTACAATCATTGACACAGCTCTGAAACGACAAACGAAACTAGCGATGGGATGAGGGATGAGGGGCGCCTTTTTTTTCGCATAATCTCCTGCGCGGCCCCCGGTGTGCACATAAGCCAAAAGCGATGCCATACCACAAACACCCTCATACGGTGTGTGGCAACGATAAAGTTTTGTGTCTGAGTACTATTATCAGTTTCTAAATGATAGCCACACTTAGGCCTTTTCCTTTATAAACTAATGTTAGTAACTTCATAATGTTGATCGTGGTAGTTTAGGAATTGCTACATTAGCCGTAAAATTTCCTGTAGTTGTGGCTCATTATTCAGTGCATCCCTTGGTGTTGTGTATTCAGGCCAAATAGGCTAATCTCCATCATCGACATCATTCAGTGAGATTTACGACACCAATGCATCAGATCACTACCGAATGAAAGTAAACTCCTTTCAAGTTCTTATTCTAAGTTTATTGCTAATCGTATTTTCATGTGTTTGTTGGTATAACTGAGACATTATCACTGCTCTCGACTCGCACTGACTAGCCATGATCTACACCGTCAAGCTCCACGCGGTGGTGCTATACAATATCGGCGACCACATCACTCGAGACATCCCTCTGCTGGTCGGGGTGATGCTCGGCACCGTGTGTGATGGGACCGTCGAAGTCCACCAGCTGTTCGAGGTCCCCGAGGCCCACGGCAAGCTCGACGAGGCGTTTCTCCATAAACGCGCCGCCCAGTTCAAAACCGTGCTCCCCCAATACTCCATTGTCGGTATCTACTTCATTGGAGACTCGGTGAATACCGATATCGTCGACCAGTTCTCGCTGTACGACCAGCCGCTTGTGGTGACGACGTTCACCGCTGTCAACAAGTTCACGCTGTATTACCAAGGGAACCCGATAAAGACGATGGTGGTGGCGAGCGAAAGTGAGCGTATTGCCACGGAGACCATCGCTAGGTTCCAGGACTACTCCCAGCTGGCTCTGGGGAGCGTGCCGGAGGTGCTGTTGACGGCGCACCTGGCGAACTTGGCCCAGCTGGTGGCGCTGATCTACGACCAGATGGTGAAGATCTTGGCGTGGATGTCGGCAGACGAAAAGGACGTCGCCAAGCGAGTCAGGATAAACAACAAGATCGTCTACCTTTCTCATAAGCTTGCTGCCCTTAAACGAGCGCCGGCACCGGACCCTACCACCAGCGTGTGTGCAGCAGAATTGGCCCTTTTGACCGAGGAGTTGGCAGTACTCCTTAAACTCAAGGCTCTGGTTGCTCAGAATGTGTTGAAGGCTAGTGTCGCTGGTGGTAGCGACCGTTTGTCCGAACAATCCCGCCAGTGGGTCGACCAACTCGGGTCATTCTGAGGTACGCCTTCAAACTACATCGAAATGGAAGCTATTGGTTGTGGCATCATCGAGTAAATAGTACTTCGATTTACTGTGGGGTTAAAATACGGATAATACATCAAGAGACATCCATACGTAAAAAGAACCCTCTCCTATACCACTTTTATAATAGTATTCTTGAGCTGTAATGATATTAATCAAATTGAACCTAAACGATTTCAACCAATTTTGACAGCTCATGTTCGTTTGACACCCATATCCTTCCGTGTCGGACTTAACTCGCGACATCGCGATGGAGGTAGCGGCGGCGGTAGTGGCTCAATTCGACAAGCTAAAACCCGGACAAAAGCCCCAAACACGCTCCAACGGCGACCAGGAATGGACGGTACTTGCGGGAGTATGTCTAGTGGATGACCAAAACCATACTGAGTGTATTACCTTCGCTACGGGGGTCAAAGTGGTACCCGAACGGGCTCGCGACTATAGCCATGGTACCATCGTTATGGACAACCACGCCGAGATGCTAGCTCTCCGAGCGTTCAATTGGTGGATTCTAAAGCATATCGACGATGACAAATACTTTGAGGCTAGTGAAATTGCAGGGAAACGGCGGTTTAAGCTGAAATACTCGGTACAGCTATATATCAGCGAACCCCCTTGTGGCGATGCCCTGATGAGCTATATTGCTCAAGACCAACCGGCCTGGAAGCGACGCAAAGTCAGTGAGGACCACGATAGGTCTGAGGACGCTACTGGGGGTGTGGCGCGAGGACGAGCTCAGTTTGATGAATTGGGTGTAGTCCGCACCAAACCCGGTCGAGCCGACTCGTTGTTATCGTTATCGAAACTGTGTTCGGATAAGCTTGCTTTGAAACAAGTTTTGGGTGTAATAAATTCAATGGTGTCCTCAGTGGTGGAGCCTATATGGCTCGAGGCGATGGTGGTACCCGAGTCAAAATACGTCGAGCAAGACTTTGACCGGTGCTTCAATCGAATTGACGGACACCGAATCAAAGTGATGACTACCGATAGTGAATTTAGTTACGGCAAACACCCCGATAAAGTGGCGGCTGCCAACGGTGTAGTGGGGGTGGTGGGGGGTCCCATCGAGACGCTAGTGCACGGAGTCAAACTTGGCAGCTACAAGAAAAACCGGGCGCCGAACCCGAAAGGCCAGTCGAAATTTTGCAACTGGCAGATGTGGCAAACCTACGGAGAAAGAATTTCACGAGACAATCCCACTAAAGCCCAAAACTACTGTGAGTTCAAGGAAAGCCAAATCGAACGGCAACGGCTTAAGGCTCACGTGCAGAAGCAATTGGGCCGGTGGGTACGCACCGGATCGGACGATTTCCCCTTAATGGGCACAAAACTGGCGACAATGAAGTGATATCGCCATCAAGCACCTTCACATGGGGTCCCAACGCCTGGCAGTGGACAATTGGCATTATCCTGCACACAGCCGGAAAGGTGGTGCGACGCTAGCCCCCTACGGATTGCCAGCACACCCCCGTGGGACGCGGCACGGAGATATCTACAAGTCGAACAGAATCCTGGACCGCTCACTACGGGCCATGGTGACGCTGGCTTACCAACAGTAGCGAGTCAATCGCCGTAAGTTGCCGGGGGCCTGGGTACGCGGCGCGTCGCCGCCCCAGGTTACATATGCCCAAAGCGTGAGTGGCAGAAATTCGCACATATCGGAGCTGCGGCGGGGTCTTCATGTGAATTTGTTGGCACCCCTGTTTATATACAGACACGACGCCTCGGCCGTATTAAGCTTTGGCCACCCGAAACTTTTTCAATTAACCCCAAACGATGCTGAAGGAAATCTCTGCGGCCGAAGTGGCCAAGCACAACAAGCAAGGCGACTACTGGATGATCTACAACGGTGAAGTGTACGACGTGTCCAAGTTTGCCGACGAACACCCTGGTGGGGAAGAAGTGCTCGCTGACGTGGCCGGTACCGATGCCACCGAAGCCTTTGACGACATTGGCCACTCCGATGAAGCCCACGAAATTATGATCCCCTTGAAGATTGGGACGTTGCAAGGCGGCACCGTCAAGAAGATCGAGACCGCCCAGCTGAGGGTGCTGGAAGACACCGGGTCCAGCTCGGGTTTCTTGGCTGGTGTTGGTTTGGTGATTGTCGCCGTCCTCGCCTACTACTTGAAGCAAAACGGCTACTTCTAAGTGCAAGTGGTCGTGTTATAGAACTCACGAATGCTCACGATATTTTTTCATCAGCCATAAGAGGTGTCTATATTAATCCCTGTATCATCATAAACTAAACCAAAAAGTAGTAGGCGGCGCCCAACGCCACCAACGCCGCCACCACAAGCGGCACCGGCACCCCCAGCAGCGTCAGCTGGCCCTTCACCTTCGTCTCGACAGTTCTAATGCTGCCGCCTTGGAGCTTACCGATCTTAAGCAGCGCCAACACTTCCCGGGCCTCGTCAGAGTGGCCAATATCATCGAAAGCCTCAGTAGCATCGCCCCCAGCCACGTCGACGATCACTTCTTCCCCACCGGGGTGTTCGTCGACGTACTTGGTGACGTCGTAGACCTCGCCGTTGTAGATGACCCACAAGTCGTCGACGGAGTTGTGTTCGGCGACCTCGTCGGCGGTGTATTCTTTGATGGCAGACATCTCTAAGGTTGAAGCAAGGTTTTTTTTCACACGGATCGTATAAGCGTTGGGTAGGCTTGTGCGCAGGCCCCAGGCGATTGCCACAAACAACTGCGCCTATACGACAGGTCACGTGTCGCCACGGCGTGAACGCGGCTGCAAATAAACTCTGACTAACAAAGGTTTGAACTAGACCATGATATTCAAAATCGTAGGAAAACTGTGGCTAGTGTTTGAAGAAGACCTTTGGCAAAACTATGTGTATTTGAAGAAAATTCAACAATGGGTCTGATAAGCTGCGATCTAGATAGCGAGAGGTCTCTTACACCACCGACGCCATGGTCTAGCTAATTGAACCTTACTACTCGTGAACTATCAAATATTGTCACATTACTATTAATACAATACCGCTCAAGGTCTACTTGAGACTGGTGATCTCGTTCTTTTCCGACGACCCGCTGGCGTGGTCGACGTATTCTGGCGACACCTCGACGGGAGTCTCGGGCGCCGTCTTATCCGCAATCGGGTTTTTACGGTTCTTGAAATCACGAATGATACCGCGGGCAATAATCATGAACGCCTTGCGCCCCACCCACAACGGGTAGATACCGACGACGAGCAACGTCACGTACAACCAGATGAGCCCCACGGTGACGTACCCTTTGAAGTAGGCGCCAGTGAAGATCCAGTCCCGGTACAATGGCATCGGCCACAACACCCACGTCACCAAGAGAATGAAGATCGTCGCACCAGTGGCTACCTTGATCCAGAAGTCCAACAGTCTCTCATCGGCCTGTTGCGAGTTGAGCTCGACGGTTTCCTCAGCAAGGTCGTGCTTGTCTTCGTTGAGCAGGTTCGAGTCGGAGTGTTCGGGGGCGTTGTGGTCTCTGATCGTCAAGTCGGCGTTCTGCAACACCTGCCAGTCGAACTTCTGGTTTTGGATCAAACTGATGGTGATCAGCACGATGGCAGGCAAGAAAAGCGCCGTCAACGTCCCGTACAAACACGGGAGCTGTTCACCCAAGGTGTCGACATTGACTTCATCGTAGAAGGCGTAGGCAGAGGTGGTCCACACCGTGAGCCCAAAGATCAACCCGGTGATGGGAGCGACAATGACGGCAAGCGTCAGCTGTTTATCCCAGGTAATGGAGAAGATCAAGGGGATGACACCGGGACAGATGATCAACGGGTAGAAGTAACCCAACCATGTCATGTTGGTACCGACGTAGTGAAGCATACACGAGAAACCAGCGGCAAAGAGACCAAAGATGATGACGGTGACATGCAGCACCCAGATCATCTGCTTGTTGTTAGCATGGGGCTTGAAGTACTTCTTGAAGATGTCGAACGACACAATCAGCGATACCGAGATAAGTTGAGCCAGCACGGTGGAAGTGACTGCCAAGTAGATGACGAGAAGAATACCACCACAGCCACCGTTACCCATCACTGCCTTAAGGGTGTAAGGAAGGGTGAAGCCCGACGAGATCTCGTAGGTGGTCATTTCACGGGGGTAAGTGGGCCACAGCGGCGTCTTGGAAAGCACCAACGAAGCACCACCGATAATGGCACCAAGTGGCCACACGTTACTGAAGATAAGCACCGCCGACGTCAAGTAGGCGGGGACGGTCAGTCTCTGGTCGGCACTGAACGTCTTTTGCCAGAACGATGAGTCCATGATACACAAGCCAAAGTTACCACCAGTAAGAATCAACCCGAAAAGCACCGAACCCTTAGACTTACCGGTAATGAAACTGCCCTTGTAGTTACCTTCAACGTACCGGTCGCCGTCGTGTTCCACCAACAAGTTGTACAAGCCATTCAAGCCACCGATCTTCTCACTCGACAACACGGTGGTGTTAAGAATGACAAGCACGATCAAAAGAATAAGCGTGTGGACAAAGTCAGTGAGGAAGGTCGCCTTAAGCCCGCCAAAGGCAGTGTACAAAAGCACCCCAAACGGGATAAGCATCATCGACGCGACAATGTGTAAGTTACCAGCGATGATGGAAATGGCACCAGCAGCACCAACAATCATTGCCAGACACGACAACAAGTTATTGACGAGACACAAGAACAAGAACAACATGTGGGCTACTTTACCGTAGCGCAACGATATAATTTCCAACGACGTGTGAGCCTTAGGGATCTTCTTCTTAGCGTGAATCCCTAAGAGAGCCATCACCGCAATCTGAATTGAAAGCCCAGCCCCGTAGTAGTACGAGGCTTGGATACCATAGTTATAAGTCATAGTCAGCACCCACAAAAGTTCAGTAGCCCAGGACCACAGCGAGTACACCGCCAGCGTTGTAAGCGCAGTCCCGACGTTTCTGTTGGCCACCGAGAACGTTTCCGTCAGGTGGTGGTCTTCGTTAAGATACTTGGAAAGAAACTTGGTGGTGAGAATCATACCAATGGCAAACGCCCCACCGACACCGACAAGGATGCCGTACCCGACACCCTGGGAAAGAAGCTGCACTTGATCGTCGGCCATTCTTCTTTGCGCTAGGAGTTTCCCTTGGGAGTTCGGGTGATTCAAACCATTTGAAATATATATCAAATTTTCCACCAGGTGTGGCTGCAAATTGTGGAGACGCAATCTCGACACTAAATTTATGCCGACTCGAGAGGCTGAAAATCCCCCAGCCCCCGATAGAGATAAATGGCCAAACCTCAGTTTCAGCTACGATGAGAAAATCCGATTGGGTTAGTCATTGGCAAAGTGGGCCCATAGTGTTCGAATGTTTTTTGGACCAACTTTGTTTTTCGGTTATTTTTTCATCTGAAAAATTGGCAAGCCACACTTGTGGCGACCAGGATCGCGACAGGGTTATTGTTCATACCGGCCCTGAACCGGAGCGGTAATAGCTGGCTTATCGGGCGATGGCTAGTGTCAGACACCCCTTAGACACGAGGCCGGTAGCGGCTATCGACGGGTTTGCTTCCTAGGCCGAGAACAGTGGGTGCGAAAGAGAAGTTCTTCCGTGGTTTGGTTGGTGAAAGCAGAGAGAGAACAAGGGGGACGTACAAAGCTCGCCAGCACCGATCCGAGCGCCTATGCAACCAATTAGGTGGCGACGCAGTGTCATTCCGCCAATACGACACTTGCTGATTGCCCAGGGGGCAAGGGCGGAAGCGAAGCTCACAATGCGAAATTCTGATATATCCTGCTCAGTAGTGCACGTCAACGGAGGCGAGAGAAAAAATACTAGATTTGCTGTCGTCCGGATTAACCAAATTGTCTGCATTTCAAAAGACGACCACGGCGACGATTTTGTGGTTCGGTAGCTTGCAGAAACGGTGCCTTGAAAACGCCGTGGAGTCATAGTGGTTGCGTATCCAATTAGATGGCGGTGTTGGTGTTGGAATACGGTATCACAACACCCTCGCCCAAATCACTCCAAGGCACGTGTTAGGGGATTTTTGGGGGATAAAAGCACACAAACGTGAACGGGGTTAATCCATGTGAAAAATGAAAACAATTAGCCATAATAGAGCTTTGTTAGGTAGTGTGCCACAACTGCAGCGGCTAGAACTCACTTGCCTTTGCTCGCTTTGGTGCGGGGACGGGTGGTGACAAACTATAGTTCGGGGTTCCGTTCGCAGTGACAGCCTCGTGGTCACTGGCAAAGAGGCTCAGCTCTCAGGCGGTAAACGAGGTCAAAAACGTCAATCGCCACCACAATTAGCCTAGGCGAGGGCGGGCTTTACTGGCTAAGCGCGGTGCTCTCGCCCCGTCCCCTTCGTCCGCAGTAACTGTCGGCAACTCCCACGTTTGTCCCATGAATCGGTATGGGGTTGAGTGCGGGCACAGTGCGGGCGGTGATAACGTTTACGACGTCACTGCAGTTGCTTTTCGCCAAAGTTTGCGCGGGCCTAGTCCGGTGATGCACACAGGGCTGCGTAACCAGCCATCAATCCCAAATAGTGGTGCGCGCTATCAGTGACTATCCATAACATCCTACACTTGCACCACTCACCAAAATGGTACAACGCAAGCCGCTCACTGGTTTCACCACTCCCCTTGGCTCGGGGGCGGGGATGCCGATCGACAAGCGACCGCCGAAAGTGACCGACGCCGCCCAGCGTCTTTCTAAGCCGTTTAGAGTGCCTCTTAGCGATAAGACGCGTCTGAACACCACCACGCGTCGGGGGACCAAACGGGTCAACTACGCCGAAATCGGAGAAAACGGGGCTATAGGCGGCGACCAGGACGAAGAAGAGGTCCGTCGTGGTCTGCGTTTGGGGCTTGTGGCCCGTCCACAGCTGACAGACCCGCTACCACTCACGCGCAAGTTCAAAGTGCCGCTAAAAAACGCCGATCAGGGAGTCGCCTACCAACCACCACCACCGTTGGGTACACGAAAAGCTATAGCTGTTGCTCCCCGACCATTACATGACCCGACACAGGAGTTCGCCATCGTGTTATATGACCCTACCGTGGATGAGAACCCCGACGCGCCTAGTCGAAGCCCTACCCCGACTCCCCCTACACCTGAATCACCAAAAGACCATGAAGAACCACCCGCTAAACGGCCTAAGAAACAGCATAAGTCACTCGCCGAAATGCTTGGTATAGTGAAGATGCTGCCGGAAGAACAAGCAGCGAAGTTCCCCGATGTACCCGTGGTCATCGACCCAAAGCTCGCCAAGATTTTACGGCCTCACCAAGTCGCTGGGGTCAAGTTCTTATACCGGTGCACCACTGGTCTCATTGACCGTAACGCTCGTGGGTGCATCATGGCTGACGAAATGGGGCTCGGTAAGACGCTCCAGTGCATTACTCTCATGTGGACGTTGTTGAAGCAGAGTCCTCGTGGCCGCAGAACCATCGACAAGTGTATCATCGTGTGCCCGTCGTCTTTGGTGCGTAACTGGGCCAATGAGATCGTTAAGTGGTTAGGTGAAGGGGTCCTCACTCCGTTCGCCGTTGACGGTGGTTCCGGTAATAAGGACTTGGAAGGTCAGCTTGTGCAATGGGCCACGGCTCACGGGCGTAACATTGTCCGTCCCGTATTGATCGTCAGTTATGAAACCCTTCGACGTAACGTCGACAAGTTGGCGGGTACAGAGGTGGGGTTGATGTTGGCTGACGAAGGTCACCGATTGAAGAACGGTGACTCGCTCACATTCACAGCGTTAAACTCGCTCAAGTGTCTGCGGCGGGTCATCTTGCTGGGTACCCCCATCCAGAACGATTTGCTGGAGTACTTCTCGTTGTTGAATTTCGCCAACCCTGGCTACTTAGGTACTCGTCAAGAGTTCCGCAAGAATTTCGAAAACACCATTTTGCGGGGTCGTGACGGGTTGGCCACCGATGAAGAAAAGGCTAAGGGTGACGCTAAGTTGGCTGAGTTGTTGGGTATGGTGAACAAATTTATCATCCGTCGTACTAACGACATTTTGAGCAAGTACTTGCCCATCAAGTACGAGTATGTCGTGTTCATTGACCAAGCACCGATGCAAAAGCGCTTATACCAACACTTCGTCACCCTGCCTTCGGTGAAGAAGCTTTTAAAGGGGACGGGGTCGCAGCCGCTTAAGGTGATTGGTATGCTCAAGAAGCTTGTTACCCACCCTGACCTTTTGAGACTTCCGGAAGATATCGATGGCTGTGAGGATATTCTCGATGAGAACTACGTCAATCAGCCGAAGCGAGACGTGGGGATGAATTCTATTTACAGTGGTAAGTTCCACGTGCTTGAGCGGTTCCTCTGGACGATGAAGACCGAGACTACTGACCGAGTGGTGATCATCTCCAACTATACCCAAACCCTCGACGTCATCCAGAAGTTGTGTCGGGAACGCCTGTACCGAGTCCACCGCTTGGATGGTACCCTCGGTCTCAACAAGCGGCAGAAGATCGTTGACGCCTTCAACGACCCTGATGCCGACTCGTTCGTGTTCTTATTGTCGTCAAAGGCCGGTGGGTGCGGTATCAATTTGATTGGTGCCAACCGGCTCATTTTGATGGACCCTGACTGGAACCCTGCTCTGGATCAACAAGCGTTAGCGAGAGTGTGGCGTGACGGGCAGAAGAAGGACTGCTTCATCTACCGGTTCATCGGTACCGGGTCCATCGAGGAGAAGATTTTCCAGAGACAGCTGATGAAGATGCTGCTTTCGTCGTGTGTTGTCGACGAAAAGGAGAACGTGGAACGGTTGTTCCTGGGTGAGAATTTGCGGGAGTTATTTAAGTACAACGACACCACCGTGTGCGATACTCATGACACTTACAAATGCACACGGTGCACGGGTGACGGCCAACAAACCAAGGCGCCGGCAATGTTATACGGGGACCAGACGACGTGGAACCACTTCCGCAACGCTGAGTTGGTTGACAACGAAGACTTGCTCATGCGTAACGAACTGCAACACGACGACGTCACGTTTGCCTTCCAGTATATCAGTCACCTTTCATAGCATTAATATTTACGACCTTATGTTTACGAGGTGTAGGTAGCATTTTTCGCAATATTCACTGTACCCAATAACGGTCTCACTAAGTCTGTCGATGTCCGCCTTGTTCGAAATATTTGCAATACTCAAAAATCACACGATACTTGAGACAAGTTTCAAGGGTTAGATTGAATTTTCTGATTGTTTCTATCAATCTGTTTTCCATAATCTAATAATAGATTTTCATAATGTTTTATTTTCCAGGTATCACCTTCACTCTCTGTTCAACATTGGCGATGTCGCGCACACGTCTGATCGAACGATTTTTGCAACCATGATGGGGAGGCTCCGATGCGGGCTACGATGCGGGCGACGGTTTTCGCTGGCACTGTCGCTGCCGCTGTGGATGCCTACGAATGTCCCCGGAGCCCTACGCCACTTGCTTGAGGAAGACCGGCTCTCCGCTGCCACCGCGCTCTTACATGGTATCGATGGCACTCATCGCCTTCCCGACCAGTTGTGGCTGCTATACTTGAGCAAAGTGTGCTCTCATGGTCACCATTTGGGGTCGATCATGGTGTACCACCAGCTCATCAGTCCTACAAGTCATCCGCTTTCGTTAACTGCTCCCTACCCGTCATCGATTCCATTTTTGATTAATCCTCAATCCTTAATTCATTTGGCGACGATTTTCGCTAACCATGGCGATTACGACCGAGTCAACGGACTAATGATCTATTTCAAGCGGTACTACTCCTATGTGTTCCAGCGTGACTGCCATAAACAGCTACGCATCTTATTAGTGGAAGCAATGGCTAAGGCGAACCTTGTTGACCGAGCCGTGGCGAATATGAACACGTTACTCAAATACCACCAAGCGTCAGCAGCTGGGGGAGCCCGCTTGAACCGCTGGATCCACACTGTGGGGGCTCAAGGAGTGCGCAACCGCCGAGCACTGATCCAGGAGGGCTCAGAACTCGATGAGCTGGACGACGATATCGTGCGAGCTGATAGCCTCGGCGAAGAGTCGTGGCCGCTCCATTTACCGATCTACAGCTACAACGTGTACCAAGTTGTGGGGGTATCCACTCCATTGATCCATGGTCGGCTAGAAGTGGCTGATTTCCCCCAATTCATCGGTATGCTAGCCAAATATTTGACCGATTCACCCGAAGCAAGCAACCCCCACCAGTTGGTTACGAAGATGCTTGGGATGGTGGAAGGGGCGCACCCCTCTTTTGTCAATTACGTTATCGCCGCCGTGGCCCCGAGCCATCCGAGCGAGGCGTTCCAATTGATACGCCGCCTCTATCTCAGGGATCGCACGCTTTCGCCGCCGACAATGACGACATTGGCCACAAACATGCCCCTCGAGTACTTGGACCAAATCACCGAGTTGTGGAGAGCTGCGGCGCCCCACACGGCGCTCCCCGCTGGCTTCCACCAGCAGGTGATCAAGAAGTACTTATTCGAGGACCGGGTGGACGAAGCAGTGGGTTATTCGAACCAATTGAGTGCCCCCACCCGTATTCCCAAGACACTCTACTACCACTACCCCCAACTAAAAACCGCGGCCAACATCCTCTGTATATAGACTTTGGCACCCACTGTTACGAGTTTACGATCACCATCCATCAAAATATTAACGATTTCATTACCATTTACTTAAAACACTATTTAAGCGGTCTTAGCGTCAACCTTGTCCTTAGCAGCGTTGGCGGTGTGCTCGGCCTTACCAGACAAGGTGGAGTCGTGTTCCGCCTTCTTCTTGTTGATGTCAGAGCTGAGTTCCAGCTTAGTCTGCTCAAAGTTCTTTTCAGCCTTTTCGGCACCAGCCTTAGCGTCAGCTTCGGCACCCGACAACGCTTCCGAGATGTAGTTGGCAGCATTCTCAAGTTCCTTCTTGCCGGCTTCGACGTATTCCGACACGGTTTCCGAGAACGTCTTTTCGTTCTGGAGGTGGTCGGCCTTGGCCTGGTGGTAGTCGGACTTGGCGGTTTCCTTGGCCGATTCGGCGTCGGTCTTAGCGTTGTCAATAGCGTTCTGGGTGTTGTCGGCGAGTCTCTGGGTGGTCGACTTCGACGAGTCAGGGGTCAACACGTTGGCCGCCTTGTCCAAGTTGTCGGTGACGTTTTCCTTGACCTTTTCGGGGCCGGACTTGGTGGAGTCAGGGGTGAGGCCTTCCTTGACCTTTTCGGAGACGGGCTTTCTGAGGGAGTCGGACATGGTTAATTGATGTGTAGAGTGAAGAGGTGGCAATGGTGGGTGAAGTGGTGAATTTATAGTGCTCTGGCTAAGATTGCTATTCCCCGGCATTTCCTTTTTAGCTCAATTGCAGCCGGCTCGGGAGGCGTCGGTACATGTCATTTTCTCGAATCGAGGATCGCACGGCAACCTAGTGTGGCGGAGGGGCAACATCAGATGTTAATTATAGTGGTAATTACATCCCAATTGGCAACGCTGTTTTTAGGAATCAATTGAATCGTCCCGTGTATGGGGTGATAAGGATACGACGGGCTCGTGAGCCTGATGGGGCTGGGCCCCTACAATGGCGTTTACGGCTAAAAAAATGCTAACGCCAAACGGTTAGCCCTGGCAACCGTGGTGGCCTCGGTGTCCGATGACGTCACTGGATAAACACCATCAGTGGCGAGCAACTTTAACTCAGACGCATGATCCTCCACTACGGAGCAAGTCTAGCCCGCGCAAAAAGGTTTCGCGCCATGTGAACAAATTGCGATTAGATCAGCGCTTAATTAAGCGTTCTTTGTATTTGGTCTAAGACAAACATTTGGTCTCGGAGAGGTAATTGGTCTAAGTCATAGGTATGCATTTCTAGTCATAAGAGATTAATCTAACGTCACTAATTAAGCGTTGGAGGTGTTGCGGGACACGAACGACCCGCGGCGGGATCCCCGCGACGAGACGGCGTCGTGGGCGGCCCACAGCGTCGCCGCCTTCTGCTCGGCCTTGGTGGGAGGCACCCACTTCGACGACTTCCACGGCAACACGTTTTCGTAGTACATCAAGTCGACCTCTTCCAACGACAACCCCTTGGTTTCCAGCACGCAGAAGTAGACAAAGGGGATCGAGAAGAGCAAGCACCCGAAGAAGACGAACCCGAGGTAGAACCCGATGGCGGTGGTGATGAACGACGTGAAGAACGAGATCAAGAAACCCCAGATCCAGTTCAGGAGGGTGGCGATGGCCATGGCGGGGGTACGCACTCTCAGCGGGTACAACTCGGAGACAATGGCGTAACAGCCACCGGCCCAGGTCGAGGCGAAGAAGGCGATGAACATCACCGACACAAAGATCAACGCATCACCAGAAGACTTATCGGTGGGACCGTGTTGCCCGTGCAAGTACAACGACTGCGACCCGACAAGGGTGTAGATAAGCATGAAGATCGACATCCCGGTGGAACCAACAAGCAAACACCGCCGACGGCCAAACTTGTCGATGACGTAGATCCCGACGAAGGTAAAGCCAAAGTTGACGACACCAAGAATGATCGACGCCTTGAACGAATCGATGTGGGCGGCCTTGAAAATGGTGGTACCATAGTAGAAGTAGTAGTTGTCACCGGTCAATTGTTGGAGCGATTGCAACATGATCCCCAAGAACAACCGGTAGAAGATCTTGGGCTTACCGGTGAAGAGCTCCTTCCACACGTTGCCGCCTTCCGACAGTTCTCTGTCGATACCGGTCTGGATAAGGGCGATTTCCGAGTACACCGCGGGGTGTTCCGGTGACACCTTGTTCGACTTGGCGATCGACTTCTTGGCTCTTTCAATGTAGCCCTTCGACACGAGGTACCGGGGCGATTCGGGCATGGGAACCATCCCGATCAAAAGGAAGAGCGCCCACGCGAAACACAACCCAACGGGGATTCTCCACTGTCTCGAGTTGTCGTAGTGACGGGTACGGTAGACGACACAGTAGCCGATGAAGATACCTAACGTGATCATCAATTGGAAGCACACAACCAACGTACCTCTAATTTTCTTTGGTGAGGTTTCCGAAATGAAAAGCGGACAGAGCACCGAAAGGGCGCCGACAGCGATACCGGTGATGATTCTACCAATCATGTACTGGTACCAGGCGTACTGGGAGGCGATTTGCACGATAAGGCCACAGATGTAGATGATCATGGCGATCATGATCCCCACTCTGCGCCCCCACAAGTCACCGGCTTTAGGGATGATAAAGGCGCCGATGGCACAGCCAGCGTTAAAAATACCAATGACCAAACCGGTCCGGACATTGGTAAAGTAGTAGGTGCCGTCAGCCGCGCGAGAAGCAAAACGTCTCTGGAAATCTGACATGTTGACAAACCCGGAGATGGTACCTGTGTCAAACCCGAACACAAACCCGCCAAAGGCGATCATGCAACAGAGAATCGAGATGGGCAAGTAGTCCTTCCACCCCCGGTTGATGTCTTCGAGGGATTCCGGTTCGCCGCCCGCGTTAGCGGGGAGCACTGGCAGGTCGTCGACGGGCTTTTCGGTATTACCATCGAAGGCCTCGATCAGGTGGTCGGTCAGCGACAACTGGGGCGCCGCCGCCGGCTGCTCGGGCGCGGGTTCGACGCTGGTTACTGACTTCGCCATATTGCAACTACAAAGTATCACGTTGGGGTGGCGGCGTGTTTATATACCGCTACCACCAGGCATGATTGTTTGCCTATTGATAGTCGTGCAAATGGGCTGCATATACTGCATGAATGATGCTCGACCTGGATTGTGGCCGGGAAGTGCGGAAGCGGGTTTCGTCAGTGCGGCGGACCCTGCACACAGACGACATTAAACTTCTGTAAATGGCGGTGACTAAGGCCACCGCTTGCCCGATGTCGTTTGCGGAGTTCCTCTCGTGTTGGTCGCGGCAAGCGGTGATACGGTGGTCTGTCGGGCAGCGGAGCACCGGGGTTACAGAAGCACACTTACATATACTGTATCTTCTGTAATCATTCTCTAAAACCCCCCGAGAAAATAATACTCTGTTTGTCGGCGTTGAGGGGGCGCCGCAGATGACCCGCTGCAACTAGGTTTTTCTGGCAGCTCGTCCTCCGCAGTCGGGTTGGGGTTTCACGTAGGCTTGCTTAATCCCGAGGGAGGCAAGAGGGGGAACATCCGGCTGAAGCGGAACCATGTGACCTCGCCGTTGCCATTGTCTATAGCGTCGGCGATATCGTCGCAAATTTTAGTGGGCCGTTTCGGTGGAATCGTTCGTTTCCCGATCACTGCGCTGTTTACCGTCATCCCCGACACGGGAGATTTCAAAATACCCATCGGGCGACAAGTTTTTCCGACGGAAAAACTTTTTTGTCGCTCATGACGCAATGTCGCCGCACCCATCGGTTATGTCATGATCACAACTTGCCGTACACGTCTCGGAGCACGCCCCAGTAAATCTCCACGTAAAAACCGCAGATCAATAAACCCCGCTTAGTCATTAACAGACCCCACCAGCTCGTCGCCAGCGGTGGAGAGCGATAGCAAAATGCCGCAATTGCTGTCTAATTTACTAATGCGCAGCGCGGCGCGCGCACCGCCGGACCACTCTCAACAGCCAGGGTGCTGCATCTCAGCCTATCGTCGTTGCGAAATGCGCTACCGATGAGGTGGTTTTTGCTTCACAAAAGAATCCACAAACCGGGCCACGACACTTTTGTTTGCTCGAGGACAATCCCACGGCTCACGCCACGGCATTTTTTTGTCTTTGGGGTAGATTACGTTTCATTACACGATTTTTATGTTAGGTGAGACAAAGAGTTACGGTGATGAGGAGGGGAAGGGGGAACATTACGTGACTTACTGTCAGATACTCTCGGGCGTGCATGAGGCATAATTTGCCAAGGGCACTAGCAGCGAGGGCCCACACGTCCTGTCAAGGAGGGGGCGGCATGTCGAGGTGCTTGCGCCTTTTCGCCCCATTGATCCGTACCCCTTTAATCGTCAACCCCGTCTCCTCGACGGGAAACTTGCGTGGTCGCCCGCGCTTGTCTTTCTTTTGTAGTAGGAGTCTCACCTCGTTTTGGTCGTAGCTGCGCAGCACCGCGCTCGGGGCGCTGGCGAGCTGGGTGGTGCCGTCGTCGAGGCGATACTGGTGCGCCATCGGCTTAAGTTGTTTGTTGAGCTGTTTGAAGTTGGGGTGAGACGAGTCGATGTAGGTGTTGGTCGACGGGTCCAATATTATTTTTTTCGGCCGGCCACGCTTCCGCTTCACCTCGCCAGCGGGTTTACGCGGGCCGTGATCCCTCGGAGTTGGCGATATCGGCGGCGGCGTTACCATCGCCACCGTGATCGACGGAGATTCACTTGCGCCCTCTGACAGAAGCGGGGCACGATGCGGGGCACGGGAAAGGGGGTCGAGCTTTTGGGTTTTGTCGGCGTGCATCATCAGCGCCGACCCGTTTAGACCCACAGCGTCGCCAAACTGCGCTGGCGGCGTCTCGATAAGCTGCGGGTGGATCAGGTGGACGTGTTTCTCCTTCGGGCGCGCCCCGGTGGAGCCAGCGTCGTACATTTTGTCTGAGGTGTCCATGGTTGGAGGGTGCGGGTAGGGGCCCAACTCCTGTCGCGGTGGTTTTTGCCAGAACTGGGTCGGCACTTGCATCTGTCCCGACGGGTAGGTGTCGACCAGTTTATGAGGCCTCAGCGGGTCGTGGCTGGCTCGCGGCGGCGACTGGCGCTTGATGTGGTGGGGCGGGGGGGCAAGGTGCACTTCGGAGGCCAACGCGTCCAGCGACGCCGCCTTCGCTCCCAGGGGGTTATTGGTGATATTCTTGGCGTCGTCGCCGACGACAGGATCGGTCCGGAAGTCGATGATCGCTCCCTGGTAGCTTCTCAACTGAGAGTACATGGCGAGCACAAAACACGTCTTCGAGACGAGGGAAACACGCACAGCTGGCGATGTCCAGCACAACACAAAACGGTAGGAAGTAGCGACCAGCACCCGGTGCTCGTTAGGCCTGGCAAAAACGCGGTGGTGGCGGGACAATCAGACGGTCCTCAACCTCAGTGGAAAATCGAGTGACTGAGTTTTGCGTGGGGAAATTTTCGAGCCCTACGGCGCCAGAGGAAGGTTGAGTCCAAAAACGTGAATTTTGGAAAATGAGGGGAACACTAGAAGCAGAGTAATTATTATTGTTGATTTTTCTACGTTTGAAGGAATTTGGAGCGCAATGTGATACTACTATAGTGTTATTCGCTATGTATAGAGGGGGGCGCCGACCGAGCGTTGACCAACGCGGCGTACTCGGCGTTGTATTCCGATAACTGGCGGCGGAGATGGTCGATGTGCTCGGTGTCTTGTTCAAGTTGTTGTTCGGCGTCATGGTATTGTTGTTGGAGGCGGCGGACGTCCTTAGTACACTCGTGGAGACGGCGCAAGAGGCGCGATATCTCCTCCTCCCCTTCGGCGTGACGCTTGTGCAACACATCGATCACCATTTGGTTATCTTCGAGTTTGCATTGCTTAGCTTGTCGTTCCACCTCGTGGGCTAGGCTGGGCTTTGGGCGGCCAGTAACGCCGGGGTGGTGACTCGGTCTCACCGAATTTCGAGTTGAAGACGTGTCAGAGTCAATGGTGCTGGTTTGTTCCATCGATGTCATCACTGCATATTCGGTGTTTGCTTCAGATTCCTGTTTTATCGCGTTATAGTCTTGCCGTAACTGAGCAAGATAGGTCATCCATGTTTTGATGTAAATGGTGCGCGTCTTGGCAACGATGTAGGCAATTACAACAACCGTGCAGCAAAATTGATCGAAGAATAATTTCTTCAACTCAACAAATTATTTGAATAAACAGGTGTACCTGTATTTTTTAAATTGATTTGATTTATCTGGTATAAACAATTGTTCGATAGATTCAATGGTGCTCTTCAACTTATTATTGTCACTGAACCATCGAATTTATTGTGAAAGCAATGATCTGCTGAGATTCTCATATTGGAGACAAGTTTACGTGTTTTCATCCCTAAGAACGTGCTCAGATGCTCTAACACAGGCTCAAATTAAGTAAGTCTATTCGCGTCAGTCATATATTTTAATGGAGGGGGCATTTACGCCGAAAGCTGTTCGACAATGATGTCGGAGGCCACCACTTGGTCGATGACAGAGTTGGCAAACGCGTCCACCAACTTCTTCGAGTCGATCAACTTCTCGTCAAATTGGATGGTGAACGACACCTTGGCCGAGAGTTCGGTGGCCACGGTGGGAGGAGCGATTCTCGTAGCCACTGGTGACAGCACGAGTTCGTCGAACAACGACACCGGGGCCGCGCGCGAAGGCGCCACCGCCGCCGCCGCAGTAGGCTTAACAAAGTCAATCGACACTTGTTGCACCTTAAACCGGTCCACAGTGGGAGCGGGGATCAATAACTCGTCGAAAATGGCATCGGCAGAGGCGGGAGTGGAGCCAATGGGGCCAAAAGTGACGTATTCTGGGAACTCAGTGGAGTAGGCCACCACTTTAGCTCTGTTGATAGCATTGCTGACTTGGTATTCGAATTCGGCCGGGGTGGCTTCGCCCAAACCGGCCTTGAAAGAGAATCTAAGCTTGTTAAGGGGCTTAGGAGGCGCAGGAGCCAGCTTGGCACCCCCCTTGGCCTCTTCGGCAGTGGTGGGACCAGTGGTGGAGGTTTCGCTGCCAGACTTGGCGTCCTTAGCTTGCGCCGGCACGATGTTGGACAAGTCCAAGTGTTCCTTCAGCGCCACGTACTCGGCGATTTGAGCGGGAGCATCCTTCGGGATCAAACCCAAGTAAGCCAACACGTCACCCTTAAGGATACGGCCATTGGGACCAGTGGCAGGGATCAGCTCCAAGGCCTGGTCGTGAGTAATATTGTTTTGCACGAGAAGCCCTTCGACGGAGGGCAACAAAGTTTGCTTGGGGTTAGCCTTTTGCACGACCTTAGACCCGTTAGAGTCATTTTGCAGTTTTGAAGACTTAGATTCCAGTTTAGGAGCCGATTCCAGCTTAGCGGGCTCCAGCTTCGCCGGTTCTTCCTTTGCTGGCAGCAGCGTCTGGACGTGTTCCACTTCGGGCTTTTCTAAGGTCGACAAGTCGTCTTCCGGTTCCGCCAAAAATGCAATCGGCTCACCGACAGGGATGCCCTTATCGCCGTCTTTCTTCAAGATTTCGAACATCTGGCCATCATCGGAGGCTTCGACGTCAATGGTGGCCTTATCGGTTTCCACTTCCAACAACACGTCGCCGGCATTGAATTTGTCACCGGGAGCCACCTTCCAGTTGACAATACCCCCCTCAGTCATGGTGGGGGACATGGCGGGCATTTTGAACACCTGGGCAGCGAGGAGCTGGCGGCTGAGGCCAAACTGACGACGTAACACCCGAGACAACATTCAGTACTCTGTATTGGTTGTGATGAGGGAGGGTGTACTGGGACGGAGAAGTCAGTGAACGAGAATCTGTCGCTTCGCAATGGTCCGGCTCACAGTCGACCTATAAGTAGCGGCAGGCGCGTGCGGCAGTTAATGTGCGAGTGGGGACCCCAGCAGGATCCATCAGTGGTCGGCAGGGGACATTTAGTACCGCTTTTAATATTTATGAGCGGCGTTCGCTATTTATGTAGATTTATTGAAAAAGCGGTGTGGAGGTTATGATTTTCCTTCACAGGATTTCTTCGTTTTTCAGCCAAGACTGAGTTTATGCTGTTGGGAGGGCTCCTAAGGTGGGGAAGCTTATGTGCGAAATCCGCCCGGCAGGTTGCGAAAGCGTTCCGCAAGTTTCCGGGGCCACTATCGACAGTTAACGGGATGCGGAACGATAAGTTCAGGGTGTCTGCAGGACACAACTGCAGAAACCTAGCGAAATATGGCCATTACCAAAATTGGTTAAATTACCAATATAATCGATGAAAAGTCATTTAATTCAATCGTAAGGACTACCTAAACATAATGTCAATCGTAAATCATACTATAATTGGTTAATTGTCACCTTCTTCTAGTCTCTCTCCGATTACCCTGGAGGCTCATCTCATCGCGGTGCGAGCCGCACACCACTAGACACCAAACCGTGAGAAGCCATGGCGAAGCGGAAGAGGCTGGACATCCGCGAGGAAAAGAAGAAGGCCCGGCTAGCTCTCGACGAGCAGCTCAACACGGGTGTTTTCACCAAGGACTTTGAAAACGATGAAATGGACTACGAGCTCCAGCCACGGACGCTAGCCCGCGCCAATACCGTGGAAGGGTTACCGATTAAACGGGCTGACGGGACCATCGAACGTGTGGTGAGAGAAGCCGACGTCAAACCTGAATCGGATGATGACGATGATGAGGACGACGAAGATGGCGAAGGCGATGAAGGCGCTAACGGTGAAGAAGAAGACGGCGAAGCTGATGGCGAGAGTGCTAACGAAGAAGACGAAGAGGAAGACGATTTATCTCCGACCCAAAGACTCGTGATGCTCAAAGAGGAAATTGCTGATTTGGCGGGGAAACTCATGGAAGACCCCGAAGAGAACTTAGCTGCCCTCACTCGTCTCAACCGTATGGCCACCTCCAAGAACCCTGTTACTGCCCAGTTGGCGGTGCTTGCTTTGGTGCCGATATACAAGTCGCTTGCCCCTGGCTACCGTATCCGTCAACTTTCTGAAATGGAACAGAAAGAGAGAGTTTCGAAGGAAGTGGCTCGTCTCCGTGCTTTCGAACAAAACCTCGTCAGTAACTACCAGAAATACCTCGACTTGCTCCAAAAGCTCGTCAGACTGAAGGATAACGTCCACATTGCCCGGGTGGCCGGCAAAGCTGCCTGTGAGTTGGCTGGCTCGCTTCGCCACTTCAACTTCCATCGCCAGCTCATTGAGATTGTTGTCGGTCGTCTCCGAAATCGGCCCGCTAACCCTGAGGATTTGGCCGTGTACACTCGCTCGGTCGAAGTGTTGGAGCTGTTGCTTGAAGACGACGTCGACGGTGCTGTGACTGTAGACGTGGTGACGGTACTTTCACGGGTTATCAAACTCCTGTACAGAGTTGATGAACTGGCACTCAATGTTCTCCTCCATCTCCAGCTTTTGAGAGACTACAACCCTGAGGCCACGGTGCTGGCGAAACGGAAACACATGGTGCAGAAGAAGGATAGAGTCCACTTGCTGAAAAAGCAACGGAAGGCGAGAAAGGAGATGATTGAAATCGAGGAAGAGATGAGCAAAGCCAAGCAGGAAGTCACCGCCGAGGAACGCGAGCGTAACCAGGCCCAGGTGTTGCAAGCCGTGCTCAAGCTCTACTTACAAATCCTTAAAGCTGGCATCCACGAAGGCAACCGCAATGCCCGTAACTTATTTGGCTCGGTGCTTGAAGGGCTCGCTAAGTTTGGTCGCATGGCCAATTTCGATTTATTGGGTGATTTCTTTGAGGTACTTAAAGAGATCATGGGCGATATGACCCTGGGAGAAGAAGAAGTTGACGTCAGACTCTTGCTTTTGTGTGCCGCCACCTGCTTCACACTTTTGCTCAACCACGCCGATGTCGGTAAGGTTGCCATCGACATGCTGTCGGTGGTGCAAGTGGTGTACCAGCTGCTTGACGCCATTGGCTTAGACGCTGACATCGAGTACTCGCACAAGACGCTCAGATTGGCGGATCCGTTAACCCTGGATAAGCCCACCGTCAATGTATCCACTACAGCTGAGCTTTTGTTGCGGACACTCGATGCCACGTTTTTCAAGCTGAGAAATGGTACTCCTGTGCGGGCATTAGCATTCACCAAGCGGCTCTACATGGAGCTGCTCCACTTACCAGAGAAGCTGGCGCTTGCCGTGCTCAAATTCATCGGTAAGCTCATGGCTCGTTTCCCCGGGATCGGAGCCCTTTACTCCACCGAGGAGCTGCTGGGTGAGGGCAACTATATTTTGGGCATTGAGTCCAATCTCCGCTCGGAAGTGGTGGAGGTGGCCCGCTCCCAGCCCGAGGCAGCGACGTTGTGGGAAAACGTGTTGCTCGACAAGCATTACAACCCCCAGGTGCGCGACGGGCTGAGGCTGTTGATGAAGCAGCTGAAGGAAACCAACAAGTAAGTAACTTATAGAGTATAATTATCAACGCATGATACGAGTGATCGGAGTTTGAAACGGAGTAGTTTGGTTTCTGGGAGTACCGCTGGGCACCCGAGGCGTTTGGGCCAGCGTCTGTCTCACTCTAGGAGTCTCCAGAAGTGTCGCCAGCGGAGCCCGGATTCTGGGAGTCGCAGGCGTAGTAAACGACGGGGGTTCGTAGCCTAAAGGCGGTGGCAGTTGCATAGAACCGTAACTTGACGGATTGAACGCCATATGAGAGACATTGTAGCCATTAGACAACACTTCGTTGATCCCCTCTGATTCGTCATCAGCAGTGTACATGGCTCTGACCATTGTCTGATCACGGTACCCTTCCAAAGGAGTTTCGCTGAGAAACTTCTCCAACAGAAGGTCTTCCCATACCGGTTTTGAGTGTTTTCCTTTGCGCCGCGGGCCACCGGTCTTCATCAGCGCCAATGCCATTTCGTCGTCCTCCTCAGGGAAGAGCGACGCTGTCGCTTCGTAGAGGTGGTCGACGTCGATGTCATCGTAGGGAATGGGCTCAAGCAGCCACTTGGTGGCGTAGAGAATGTGGTTGGGGTGGCTGATGTGGCAGTAATTATATCCCAGATCCATGGCGCACAGTGATCACCGCGACTGTTGATATACACTAGAAAGGACTACAGTGTGAACACTATGTTCACGACAAAATCTACAAAAGTTTCTTAATAATGATTTCATTCGATTGAGTATAAATTTATCTTGAGTATTTCAAGTAGACTGGAATGCAAGGATTGAATGATTCACATCTAATGGAGTTGACTGTTCTCACAGCAGAAACAGTCCTATAAACGCTGATACCAGTTCAGCTGAATCTCTTTAAAAGTTTACAAGTATCATGATGGCGAATATATTATGCGCGAAACTAAAATACACAGGGCATGCCCTACATTCTCTTTCTTCTCCCGATTTGGGCCTGGAACCCGGTCTTGATCGACGTCACCGATCTCGTCGAACCACAAGCCTTACAGCTCAAGAAATGCAATCTGTTGGACGACTCTCTCTTCAACTCGGTGTTCATCGACTTACACGTCTTACAGGTGACGTACTCGACAATATACCGTCTCAACACCGACTCCATCTGCTTAGGCTGGAACCGCCCCTTCAAAATCAACCGCTTTTCCCCGTCAATCGAACCCGAAGTACCCAATTCAGCAAACAAGAACTGGATAAGATGCTCGGGGTTTCTTTGCAATACGGTGGCAATTTCTTGCACGTTGGTGAACATGGTCTTCTTCGACCCTTCTCTCTGACACACGGGGGGAGGGATCTTGAACTTGGGTCCCAGACGGTCGCCGGCCAATTCGGGGTTATTCTTTCTAAGGATGCCGAAGAATCTCAGCAAAAGGACGTCGTAGGGCAATTCTTCTTGCGCGGCCGACGGTTCCGCCGCCACGACTTCTTCAATACCCGCTTGTTCAAGCTGAGCTTCGAAATCGTCGGTAGCGTCGGCGGCGGTCTTGGTGGACTTCTTCTTCTTCTTCTTCAACGACAAGTCATCGAACGAGGCTTCCAACGCCGCCGCGTCCTCAGGCTTCTTCGTCTTCTTCTTCTTTTTGAGACCGGCAAACATGTCGTCGGCGGCTTCAGGGGCGGGGGAGCCCTCGTCCTCAGGCTTCTTCACCTTCTTTTTCTTCTTTAACGTGGGGTCAAAACCAAGGTCGCTCATGATGGTTTGTTCGCTAGATTTAAAATTTTTCGCACCCTCAGTGAAGACAGTGATATAGCCCTATAGATTTTGCTACGAAATTCCAAAATGACCGATCACGTGGCCGACCATGAAATCTGACAAATGCCCACACTAAAGTCACCGACAACGTGTCATCTTATTTTGGTGTGTAATCAGTGCTGTTTGTCAGCCGCCTTGTCAGTACGCTCTCTTTTAGTCTCACCTTTTGAAGAGATGCGCACCCTCCGCGCGGTTCCTGCGTGCGGTAATCAGAAATCTGACAGGGAAGCTAGTATATCTTAATGTAAACTGTGTGGTATTCATATACTGTTAAATATTTAAATTATCTACCAGAACGAGCCTTTGAAGAACGAGTCGAAGCTGGTGGGGTAGCAGAAGATGACGAGCTTGCAAGTCCAGGTGGTTTTCAAACCCCAGGCCCACTTCCACCCGTGGCCTCTGTGGAAACCAAAGTACTGGTACTTCTTCCCACCAATCGAGAAGTAGAAGTACTTGTCCTTGGGCAAGAAGATCACGCCATTAGAAGCATCAGGCAAGCTCGCCCCTTGCACTTGAGCCACGGCCTGGTCACCGGCTTCGTCCGATTGTTGGTAGGCATTGGCGATCTTGTTGGCATCAGCGTCACTGACGGTGGCACCAGCACTCTTAGCAGCGTTCTTAATGTCGTTGGCAGAGGGCTTGGTGGTGGGAGCGTCGGGAGCCACCTGGGCTTGACCGTTAGCCGGTTGCTGTTCTACCGAGGCAACGTCGGCAACGGCTCCGGCAGAGTCGGCGTTGGCGATGTCGGAAGCGTCATCGGCGACGGGGTAAGGAGCAGCCACAGCGACGGCAGCGAGGAGGAGGAGATTAGAAAACTTCATAGTCAACTGAAGAGAAAAATGCTATGAGAATTGGCAGTTATTTATACATCAAGGGATTGATTGTCACGTTCAATTGTTTGGTTATTTGGCTTTCATTGTCGGCTACGAGCCGAGAAATGAGGTGCTTAGCTACAGCTGTGAGGCGGGTTCGGGGTCTAGTCCGTCGATCGTCCGCCCTAACCGGCTAAAGAACCTAAAGACGATGGGACAGCGATGGCGGGGTGAGGCGAGGGTACGTGCAACGTGATGGCTTTGTAATGATGGTCTTACTTCTCTCTGATCGTAAGTTACTGTCCCTTTGGTAAGATGATGGTGAGATGAAAGGGATTTAGTGTCTAGGCCCCTCAGGCACCGCTGGTGTCCCTGACATGAGGGGAAATAAGCTTTTCGACAAACAATGATACTTGTTCAAAGCGGCATTCTTGGCTCACTTGCCCTCGATGAAATAGACCTCTAAAAGTGATTATCATTATGGTGTACTAAGGTGAACCAAACAGGTGAACCTAGTCACCACATCCATTGATGGTAATGATCATCAATACTGTCGATCGAGGCCCTCGAAATTCTCCGTGTAAACGAGGCACCCGCCCCCAAGTGTCTGCTCGGGGTGCATGGCGTACGATCTGTTAAGAGCTAGTTACATGTACGGGATACTAATATGGGGAACAATGGGTGATAAAAAGGGAGCAAATCTTGTCGAAAACGGGAAATAACGTACCTGGTGTAAGCTGGTTTTACGGAGTATCTGTGTGTGCTTCTTGCATCAACAATAAGCGCGTGTATTCAACACTAGTGCTCTAGTAGTCGTATATCAGGTTTGTGGAGATCCTCAAAAGCTTTGGATTACGCTTCATAAACTAACTAGCACTACACAAAGTCAATGCACAGAAACCTAAATCTGGAATCGAACACTGGTGCCTACGCCGTTTTTTAGGTTTGTCGTAAACTTAGTTAAATTATCTACAAATTAGGCGAAAAATTGTCCGACCTGGGGAAAGAAGTGCGCGCACCGGGCACTCTCACTATTATGCTAATACAACGTGAAAATAGGCATAGACTGCTTATGTCCGTCGAAAATCAACGCGTTGTTGATTCGTAACTCCTTCTGGCCAAAGAACTGGATGACGTCCTGGGCCAACGCCCCGCCGATGATGGCGGCAACAGGGGCAAACTCGGTGAACGCTTGGCGAGAAAACATCGACGTGTAGGTAGCATCGACCAACAGCTCGGGGAGCCCCAAGTTACGGCACTTCTCGGTGGCGTCGGCAGCAAGCTGAGCTTTGTCAGGCATGGCGTCCGGGTCGGTGGGACGGTCGTAATGCAAGAGAGCAAATATCATCGGCACCGCTCCTCCGAGCTGTTTAAGTTGCCGTTTACGCAACTGATTGGGCAATTCCTTCAGGTTGAACGCCACCACAAGCGGCGAGTACTCGTCAACGATGGTCAAGTGCTCTTTGTTGGCCGCCTTATCGACGTCGACTTCGGTGATGGTCTTCTTCGGGTTGAGCGCGGTGCCTGGCAGTCGAGGCACGTTGCCCAACACCCGGGTGGCTTCTGATGTTTGCTTGATGAGGTCGGTGAAGATATAGCCGAACATTCCGTGCATCCCGGAAACGTATAGCGGGATCCCGTGGGTGCGGGTGAGGTTATTAACGGCGACGATTTCGGCGTAAGTAAGCTCGGTGGCGATCACTAAGTCAAACTGCCCGTAGTATTCAGGCTCAATCGATGTCAATGTGGAAGTGTTGATGGTGACGTTGACGCGATTGTTCAACTCTTTGATCTGAGGAAGAATCACAGGGAGCTTCAATTGGCCTTCAACCAGCAGGTCATTGGGCAAAAAGAACTGGCAGCCGAAGTCAGCATCTTTAATAACTGACAGGTCCAAAAGCTCGATCAGATTGACCCCGCCGAGGACCAAGTTCTTCACCACTTCCGTACCGACGGCGCCAATATTGATGACAAGGATCTTCGCCAGGCGGAGCCGGAGCTGGGTCTTCATCCCCCAAAGACGGATCTGGCGGTCGTAGAGCGAGATCTCATCTAGCTGTTAGTATCGCAACGTAAATCACTGAGTATTGGCAAGGTTCACGTACCTTTAGATAATGACATGCCTCCTGGTGAGGGTAGGGTGTGCGGCTTCCGAAGTAGGATACCAGCGGTCTCAGCGTGCGGCTACCAAGTCAAAAAAATCATGGTTGCGACTAGGGGGAAAAACGGCTACTATTTGCAGCCATGACTCGCACACTGTGGACACCTGCGGGACACTGCCGCAACTGCCGATGAGCAAAAGCCGAGACCATCTATAGTTGCTGCCGGCCCCCACTGGGATTGGTCAGGACGCTCGGGTGGGTGTTTCAAATACACACTACTAACCCATCCGCTGCCTCCACTCTTAGGGTTAGTCACGTCATGTGCCCGTGGACCCCCCCTTGGCCGTTTGCGATAGATATAGACGCCACCCCTTCAGCAATTGGCGGCAATGGCCTTCATCACGGTGACGATCGTCAAAGCCGACCTGCTTCGCCGTACCCTGTTCTATAAGCCGCTGCCGTACGTGTCGGTGACCATTGATGGAGGTCGTTCCTGCCAGCACACCCGGGTACGCCGTAAGTGTGCCAACCCCGTATGGGGTGACAAATTCTCGTTCCCCGTCGGCTACGACCTGAAGCTTGACCTCGAAATATTGGACCATAATCGGGCTACGGACCATCGCCACCACAAATTGGGGTCGCTCCAATTGCGGCTAAGCGAGATCTTACTGTTGACAACTGCTCTGGAACGAATGATGGTGGCTAAGTTGGATAAGTCTCGCTACGGGACCATCTTCTTGATGTTGTACAGTCAGCCCCACCGCCCGTTGCCTCCATTGCCCACATCACCTCATACGCAATTGGCGAGCCCGTTTATCCCAAATACCCCACTGGAGTTTCCCTATGCTAGAAGAGTGTCTAATAATGACCTGGTGGCAAGTCTGCAGACCAGCAATTACAGTCTCGAACCTCGACATCCCTCCCCCACTACAGATATCAGCTTGTCATCGATAGAGTATGATGATCTCGATCTGACCCCTCAGTGGACAGGACAAGAAGGGAGGTATCACACTAATAGTGGTGCCACCTCCAAAGATAAGGCTCTTCAGCTGGCACGAGCTCAATTTTCGAATAAAGTGGCTACCCTCCGAGCTAGCCCTCAGATGACGAGAAGGCCTGGTAACAAAACCTATATCCGAATCAGCCGTAAATCGATTGTCGATGATGCGTTTGACCAACTTGCCAAAGTGGACGCTGATTCTCTTAAGGGTCGGTTAGATGTGAGGTTTTCCGGTGAAGAAGGCATCGATGCCGGTGGGGTGCTGAAGGAGTTTTTTGAAGTGTTGACCAAAGCCATATTTGAACCTAATTTGTGTCTCTTCAAATGGGGATCTAATAATACCTATGCCTACCTGATCAACCCTGATCTGGGGGTAAATCCTACTCATTTAGACTATTTCCATTTTGCGGGTCGGGTGTTTGGCATGGCGGTGTTCCATAATTACCACGTTGGCGTGGTTCTCGTCGACCAGTTATACCGTCAATTGCTCGATATGCCTGTTGAGCTCGGCGATATTGAGGCTATAGATGAAGACGTGTATCGACTGATGATGTGGCTTTTGGAAAATGATATCACTGGCGTTGATCTCGGGTTGTACTTTGTCGTAGACTACGACTATTTTGGCGTCTCTAAACTGATAGAATTAATCCCTCAAGGAAGCACGATACCCGTCACTGAAAGCAACAAGCACCAATACGTGCTGTTCATTGCTCAGTGGCTTGCACGAGAACGCACTCGGTCCCAGTTCCGAGCGTTCTCCCGAGGGTTTTACGAGTTTGTCCCACAAACCTCGATCAGCACATTTACTCCCAGTGAACTTGAATGGTTACTTCTGGGTAGTGGCCAGATTGATTTGGACGACTGGAAAGCGAACACGTTATACTTGGGCTATGACGACGACTGTACCACCATTAGATGGTTTTGGGAAGTGGTGGCAGCTCTTGACAACGACAAACGAGTCCGTCTCTTACAATTTGTCACTGGGAGCACTCGAGCACCGCCCCAAGGGTTTAGCCAATTGCACGGGCTGGACGGACCTCGCAAATTCACCATATCCAAAACTACCAAAGTCGACCACCTACCACTAGCGCAAACATGTTTCAACAAGCTCCTGTTGCCTAATTACGAAACGAAGGCTCAGCTCCAGCAGAAGTTGACCATGCTTGTTGATCATTGTGTAGGGTTTGGAATGGGGTAGACGCCTCATTAGGTAAGTTACACCACACATAGATCATTGAGGCACACACCCCTCAATGGAACCTCCATTAGTAATTTTACGAAAGAGACAACAACATGCGAGATCCGAGTCACCCGGCGTTGGGTTTGTAGAACTACTTGGAATTCCACGTTTCAACAAGTACCTCGATAATCAAAGTGATAACCATGTCTTAAAGTAATGATAGTCAGGACAAGAGCGAGCCGGGTAACAAAGTTAATTAGACACATAAGACGATAAAACGGCTGTAACGCCATCAAATAACGATCATAGATAACGATAACCGATTATGAGCACAATCATCCATTGACCTGATGCTGTCTGTCTACATTGCTCATTGAGGTTATAGTGGGGGGGGGGGGGGAA